ACTATAACTGTAGTTAGTAAAAATGTACTCCGTACTATGCAAAGGCAAGTCCGGTCTGACTCGAAAATGGCCTTTGTATTTTGTCCTACCCAATCCAAATAATAAATATAATGCTGGTCAAGCAATAAATTCAATTTTTATATTCGTTTAAAAAACAGGACTAGATTGGGAATAATTTTTGTAAAACTTTGTACAAGCAATAGTTAATTTAAATTTGAAAGACTGGAAACAAATCCTACTATATACATGTTAGGATGGTTTTGGGAACAGTGTTTTCGCCAAAATCATTGGGTAGTGAGTTTGGATATGGAGCGGGCCAAGTGGGCAGACTGACGGGTAGTGAGTTTGGGTATGGACTGGGCCAAGTGGGTTGACTGACGTGGTTGCTAGCTTGGACATCTTCAGGTTAAATCATGGGTGCATTTTTTCATAAAGTAAAAGTAGTATCAAATCTATCCTATTGTTCAATGTGCTTTATGTCAAATTCATTTAATTTATACTTTTCTTATTTCCAAGCATTTAATGGATGGATTAATAATTTCATTTTCCAAACTCTATGTCAAGTCAAAATAAATAAATTAGTGTAATGATATGGAACCGCGTGCGTGGTTATGTTGGTGCGTTGTTCGATGTAAACTTTGGGAGGACCTGAAGGGATGGCGTGGTGCGTGGTTCATGGTGTGGATGCATTGTGTTGGCATGATAAGGGGATGGTTGACAATGACTATGGAAAAAAAGATTAGGAGCAGTGTAAATTACGCAAACACGGGAGTAGAAATTTGGGAGGATCTGAAGGAAAGCTTTGAAAAAGAGAGTGGACTTCGCGCCTACGAGTTGAAGCAAACACTTTCCTTGACTAATCAGAATAGGGCATCCATCTCGGCCTACTATATGAAGCTATGCAGCATCAAACATGGGTTGCAACCGATTCTACCCACCCTTAAATGCACTTGTGATGGCAACACATTTAACATTGGAAAATGCTCATTGAATTCAAAGAAAAAAAAGGCTTTTTGAATTCCTTATGGGACTCGACAATGACTTTGTTGTGATCAGGACTCAAATCCTCGCGATGAACCATTTGCCTAAACTTGGAAACTCATACCACTTGGTTCATGATGATGAACAAAGAGCCATATTTGCTGACAAGAAACCCTGGATAGAGGTGGCTGCTTTTAGTCCATCAGCTTAAAGGCGATGTGAGGCCGGTTCAAACCAAAGACGTGAAAAATTGACACTGAGGGATGCCAAACGTGTTGAGATTTTTGAACACTTCACCTTCTGTGACAAAAATGGACACGCTTGGATTGCTGCTTCAAATGAATAGGTTATCATGAGTGGTGGCTAGGAAATCGAAAAAGGGAACAGAATAAACTGAAGGCTGCTTGCATTGAGACAGGTTATCGTCACTTATTGCTTGTGGAAATTGATATTGATGATTTTGTACTTGAATTTGTGCGTAAATCGCCATATCTTCTGGACACTTCATTGGGTTGGGACGCCTCCGATCGATCTCCTTCCTTTGAAGGTGGCTATAGATCTTCTCTAATGTTTGTGTTCCTTGTTTGATGTTGTTGGCTTTGACCATTAGGTCATAAATCTGCAAGGGATCCTTCCCGGAGCCATATGTTGCTTCAATTCCCTCCACAGGTCCCAAGCAGTTGGATAATCAATGTACTGGTTAACAATTTCTAATTCTATATTTTCCAATATCCATGTTATCATCGTTGAATCAGCTTATCTCCATTTGGAATATTGTGTGTTGTCTGCTTGGAGAGGGGCGACACTGATGTGCTTTAGCCGTCGTCTCCCGTCCAGAGCTAGACTTATCTTGCATGCCCAAATGACGTAATTCCGATCGTTTAGTTTTTCCCCCAAATTTAATGGCTGGTTGGAAGAACTTTTGGTAGGTTCAGCCTTGGGTGCCCAAGTCTGGAGGATTTCCAGTACTTGTGAGATTGAGGGGCTGTTTCATGGGTCAGACTCCTCCGTGGTGTAGGCGGAGCCACTTGTTTGTGGGGTTTTGTCTGCCATGGCTTATTGGTAGATGATGAGGCTGCTTTTCATTCTATCTAAGGATCAAATGAATGCTCCAATCCCATATTGACAAGGTAAATGAAAGAAGCATTTTATTGCATTAAGCTTGACTTTTTTACACGAAGGGATATATCCCTTAAATAGTACTCCCTCCGTCCGAAAATATTCTTCCCACTTTCTTGTTTGGTCCGTCCGAAAATATTCTTCCCATTTCCTTTTTTAGTATACTTTTTAAGGATAAATTTCAATAATACCCTTCTATTTTATCTCTAATCTACTTTTTTATTACTTTTTTAATAAGAAAAGGATATTTAAAAGTTTATATTATGTGCATTTTTGGAAATTTGGCATTTTTTTTACTACTCCTTAATAAGCGTGTCAAGTCAACCCGGGAAGAATATTCCCGGAGGGAGGGAGTATCAATTACAAGTGAATTAATTTTTTAATTAATGGGAAAGGGTGATTTGATGGAAAGTAACAAAATCCTTCAATATATTGAGAATAAACTTTTGTTAAAGTAATGATCTTCAAAAGTCAATTCCAATCTCCTTTTTGAGATTTCCTACACTTCCTTTTGTAAAGAGTGATATTGAAAAAATAATAGCTTTGAGTCTATACATTGTGATATTTGAGGAAAAATCTCACCCCTTCACTCTCAAGGGCTAAATATTTCTTGATGATTGTTGATGACTTTAGTAGAGCTGTTTGGGAGTTCTTACTGAAGTTTAAATATGAGGCAAGCAAGTGCCTAATTAGTTACCACAAAATGATACAAACCAAATTGGGAAGTCTATTAAAAGAATTAAATGTGATAATAGTGGGGAATTACATCTGACGAGATGAAAAGGTTTTACTATGATCAAGAAATGGTGCTTGAGACCACTTACCCATACGCCCTGCAACAAAATGGTGTAGTGGAACGAAAGCATTGACACTTGCTTAAAACAACCCCGGCACTAAGATTTGAGGCTAACCTACCCAAGCGGTTTTGGCCTTTTTTGGGCGAATGTCTCCTTACGGCCACATACATTGTGAATTCATTGCCTTCCAAAGTGATAAAAAGCAAAGCTCTTTATGAGAATGTTTTCGGTCAAATACCGGATTATGGTCTCATGAGAATATTTTTGTTGCCTTGCCTATTATAGAAGCACAGAAATAAAAGGTTATAAGTTTGAAGTGAGGGGAAGACCGAGTGTTTTTTTGGGATATCCCTGAGGTACGAAAGGGGTTCAAATTTATGACATTGAAAACCAGAAAATTTTGGTTTTTAGATATGTCAAGTTCCATGAAAATAACTTCCCTTTTAGAAAATAATTGGTGAAAAGGAAAAAAACAGGTCCAATGGGAACACCACTTGTGCCAACATATGATGAAGAAAACCAACAAGGAACCATAAATAATGGAGAGCAGGTTGAAAATGAGGTAGTGGAATTTGAACCTGCTTCACCCGTTACGAGCCGAAGCCAAGAGGCTGATGGGTTTCCGCTTGAACAGACACATGCTCGAATGAAGGCTCCAAGGAATTACAAAATCCTATAAATGAGCATGATATACCCCCAGTATTATTGTTTAATTTTAATCTCTTGTGTTGTATCTTTTGATTAAGACAACACAAGAAATGGAGCTTGTAATAGATATATTGGGGCCAACTTAGTTATATACAGTAAATGAGGCTAAGTATAATGAATTGTGTACTTTAAACCTAGCCACCAAAGTCAGGCACCTAGTAACAGTGTTTAGCCCGTGTGAAAATGGATTAGGTTTATTCGTTCCGAAAGTGAGGTGTGGACTCTATTAGGAGGGTGAATGGAAGTGTATTAAGGTTAGGAGGGTAATTCTTCTGATCCTCCCATGTGTCCCATGATCTTTCATGATCATGGAAGATGTTGGCATGTCCATAGGAGGCAATTTGATGGTACCCTTAATTGTAATCTCTCCAAACTAGGAGCGGGGATTGAACTTTCAATCTATAAAACATTAGATTGTGTATTTGTGTACAAGTTTGTGTGAAACACGAGATTAAAACTAGTTAAATGAATTGCTCGTTCAACAAATAATAAATTTTATTGGAAAAAAAACTTGTAGGAATTAAGCTTAGATTTGGAGTATTTCTACACACTCTATAAAATAGTTTTATGGCTAAACTCCACCATTGGTCCTTCAACTTTATCAATTGTGCACGATTGGTCCTTCAAGTTTTAAAAGTCCACAAATAGTCCTTCAACTTTATGAGTTATGCACGATTGGTTCTTCAAGTTTTAAAAGAGTATAAATAGTCCTTCAAGTACATGTCAGCCCTCCAGATAAGGTCCTTTTGACAGTAAATGTTAAAAGTTAAATGGAATACTAGCTCCATATAATACGGAGTAGTCGTAACTAGTGGAATTTACTCGTATTATATGAAACTAGTATTTCGTTTAACTTTTAATATTTACGGTCAAAAGGACTTCATATGGAGGGCTGACGTGTACCTGAAGGACTACTTATGGACTTTTGAAACTTGAAGGACCAATGGTGCAGAACTCATAAAGTTGAAGGACTATTTATGGACTTTTGAAACTTGAAGGACCAATCGTGCACAACTGATAAAGTTGAAGGACCAATGATGGATTTTAGCCTAGTTTTATGGAAGGGTCTATGAATAGCCCAATCGGTCGCTTGGTTAGGGAAGGCCAGAAGTACATAACAGAAAATCAAGGGTATATAACCCAAGGGATGTGTACAAAGGAACTAACAAATGTGCAGAGTGATTTGCTCCCTATGACATTAGTCAAGGATTTCGATAAACCATACTTGGAGACGCGAAGTGTGAATTCATTTTGGGGATTTCACTCCCAACCCTAAGGAAACCTTTGCACCCAAGTAGTTATCACAAACTAATTGGTCTATGTCTGATTGATTCCGCAGGTTCCTCCATGACTCAACATCAAGTTTCTAATTGTCTTTCCAGTAGATCTGCCTCAGGTTCCCATTATATATGAACTCTCTCGCACTCTCGCTGAAAATTAGACATCCACTATCGATCCGGCAAAAGAGCTAATCTAAGGAGCTAGTTCGGATGCGTAGTGGGAGAGCTTTGGGACCAGATGAGATTCCAGTGGAGTTTTGGAAGCATGCGGGTCGTGGTGCGTGGGTTTGGTTAACCAAACTCTTCAATGTTATCCTCCGGACAGCTAGGATGTCTGATGGGTGGAGGGAGAGTCTCTTGGTCCCTCTGTTTAAAGGCAAAGGTGACATTCAGAGCTGCGAGAATTACAGAGGCATCAAACTGCTTAGCCACACCATGAAAGTTTGGGAGCGAATCATTGAGTGTAGGGTGCGGAAAGGGGTTTGCATTTCTAAAAACCAGTTTGGTTTCATGCCTGGCAGATCGACTACAGAGGCCATTCATCTCGTGAGGAGGTTAATGGAAGAGTATAGGGCTAGGAAGAAGGACCTTCATATGGTGTTTATTGACCTTGAGAAGGCGTATGATAGGGTGCCTAGGGAGGTCTTATGGAGGTGCCTTGAGGCAAGAGGAGTTCCCATCGTGTACACTCGTGCGATCAAGGATATGTACGATGGGGCTATGACCAAGGTAAGGACTTCTCGGGGCGACTCAGATTCTTTCTCGGTAGGGATGGGGTTGCACCAGGGTCTGCCCTTAGCCCTTTTTTGTTCGCCTTGGTGATGGACGTCCTAACTCAAGGTGTTCAAGACAGGGTCCCATGGTGCATGCTTTTTGCGGATGATATTGTGCTTATCGACGACACACGTGAGGGACTAAACGATAAGTTGGAATTATGGCGCCTTGCCCTTGAAACTAAAGGATTCAGAATAAGTAGGAACAAGACTGAATACATGGAGTGTCGTTTCAGCGGCCGGGATACAGAATCAGAGGTGGAAGTCAGGATTGACTCGCACCTAGTACCTAAGGTAGACATGTTTCGATATCTTGGCTCGGTAATCCAGGCTGATGGGGAGTTAGATGCAGATGTTGGACATCGTGTTGGAGTGGCTTGGGCCAAATGGCGGTTAGCTTCAGGGGTGTTGTGTGATCCGAAGATTTCGCCTAGAATGAAAGGTAAGTTGTATCGATCCGTAGTCAGACCTGCTATGTTATATGGGGCAGATAGGGATGGCAACGGGTCGGGTTCGGGTCGGATAGTACTATACCCGAACCCGACCCGACTTTTAAAACCGAAACCCGAACCCGACCCGACCTTTTAAGCTAAAAACCCGACCCAACCCGAACCCGACATTTCAACCCGAAACCCGAACCCGACCCGAACCCGACTTTTAACCAATAATCAATTCGACGTATCCCAATAATTTTGAAATGATTAAATCTAATTTTTTTCATGTCTCTTTTTTATGTCTCATTTTTTATTAAGGAATTATAAAAATGATTATAAAAAACATACTTGATATAGTAGCACTTTGCCAAGAAATTATACGGAGTGCTTATTATATTCATAGATAGGCTTTTATGTAATAAAATATTCGGGTTTTAGTCGGGTCGGGTGCGGGTTCGGGTCGGGTCGGGTAAAATTATAAATCCACACCCGACCCGACCCGATGTCGGGTTCGGGTAAAAAATTTCGGGTCGGGTTCGGATTATTTTATTCTCGGTTCGGGTTCGGATATTTTAGTGGTCGGTCGGGTCGGTTAAGCTCGGGTTCGGGTTGAATTGCCATCCCTAGGGGCAGAGTGTTGGGCGGTTAAGAAGATTCATGTGCGTCGTCTGTATGCGGCGGAGATGCGGATGTTACGATGGATGTGTGGGAAGACAAGGTTGGATAGGGTTTTAAACGAAGTTATCCGACGTCAGGTAGGCATGGCACCTGTGGAAGATAAGTTGCCGGAAGCGAGGTTGAGATGGTTTGGCCATGTGAGACGGCGGGATCCTGACGCCCCTTTACGGAGATGCGAGAGAATTACAGTTATCGGGGGAAGTAGGGGAAGGGGTAGACCTAGGAAGAATTGGAAGGAGGTGATTAGGCAGGATTTAGGACTTCTCGACCTGACTGAGGATATGGCCCTAGATAGGAACCTTTGGAAAACTAGAATTAGAGTAGCTGGATATGAGCTTGGTGTTGTAGAGGTTGTTTTGTAGTGTGTTGTATTCGTCTGGAATCTTCTGCTATTGCTTGTACTTGTTGTTTGTACTTGGTGCTTTATCTGTGTTACACTGTGTTCCCTTCTATATTTTTGTGCAGGTGGAGCCGGGGGTCTCTTGGAAACAGACTCCCTACTTCTGAGTAGGGGCAAGGTCTGCGTACACACACCCTCCCCAGACCCTACTATTTTGGAATTCACCTGGGTTGTTGTTGTTGTTGTTGTCTAAGGAGCTAGTTCATTGATGAAAACACCTTCCATCTCAGTAAGTTGAACTCAATACTTTTCGAAGAAGAATCTTAAGTGTTGGAGGTTGTGACCAAATGGGCCACCCCTACTCAAGGCAATGTAGGAACTAGGAACACCCTTTACATTTAATTGAGCATCCTTAAATAGAAAATGAGCATAATAAAACACCACTGCAAATTGAGCATTAATAGCATTAACAGATTGATGAAAATGTCCTTCAGAAATTACACAAATATCATTAGCCTTACATATAAATGGTATAATACTCTCCGTAATTATTTTTTTGAACTCTCCATAATACCCGGTATTTTAGTTGTGTTCTTATTTTTCTTTGCCCAAAATTAATTTCTTTCCATATTTAATAAAGAAACTGTGATTATGACCTTATTTGAGAACAACATTAAATAAAATTTTAATAGTGTCGATTAATCTTGAAAACACTAACACTAAACGCTAAAACAACTAATCCAAAGCTGATGCCAAGCAAGGTCTAATTGTCTAAAATATCCTAAAGTGAACTAAAAACATTACTGATATATATATTTCCAAATTATGTCATTTCAAAAAACTGCAAAGTGGACAAAATAAATAGAACTTGTTTGAAATACGGAGTATATGTTACCGCACAAATATTAATCAACTAAAGCACCTAATAAATGTTAAAGCACAAACTTATACAGCTCGCTTGAAATGTTACAGCACAAATAAAACCTTCCATTTTTTTTCTTTTGATTCATAAAAAAATACTATGCAACAGATGGTTATTATTTGTTTTCTTTAAAGTTTGAGAAAAAAGTGCATTATCGAGCAACGTTGGGGGAGCTCTAGAATCTCCTACCTGCAGCAGGTTTCATCAGCTTTGCTGCTTCTTTCATTGCTGGTTTCTTCATTGGTTTTAATGCTTCTATCTCCAACGGTCTCTTCATCGGTTTCAATGCTTCTATCCCCAATGGTCTCTTCATCGGTTTCAATGCTTCTATCCCCAACGGTCTCTTCATTGGTTTCAATGCTTCTATCTCCAATGGCCTCTTCACCGGTTTGGGTGTTGAAAGAGCAGCAACCATACAACGTCCGTCCGGTTTCTTTGGAGAGAAAACACTGATGGGGAGGGGAGGGACTACGAGTTATTATATGGAGCATGCTGGTCTGCTCCATAAAGCGTACGCTATTGAAATGGAGCATCATGATGCTCCATAATTCAATAGTGGGCTCATTATGGAGCTCGCTAGCATGCTCCCTGATTATTATTATTATTATTATTATTATTATTATTATTTGGAAACAAATGTGACTGGTGAAGCTGCAAGCATTTGATGAATACATTGAAATGCATGGGTTCACTTGAAAAAAATACCTGCTAGTTCTTTGCACAGCCTTATTCTTCAAAGCAGCTATATTCTTAAATTCTGGACTGGAAACATATAATATAAAATCAGATAAGCAAAATGTTGAAAGCTAGTTGACGTGTCAGGGACTAGCAAAATGACCTTTTCAAGTAATCCAACTTTGCCTTCTTCATTACTGTACTCTTTGTGTTGTAAACATTGCTCCCGCCTACAAAAATTATTACTACTTAGGCCCCTGAAGAAAGTAAACATGTAATGCAACTGCTCCAATGAGAATCTCAGCATTAGGATAAACGAAATGTACAACAAAATATAGAGACATTCAAAGATATACAGTATTAGCCCACACATAGGAAGGCAGGAGGCTGTAAACTGAAAGGAATTTTCAAATGAGCAAAATGGTGGTCGTATGATTTGAGACAAAAAGGAGGTGTCTTGATAAAGTATTGCCAAAATAGGCTTGTCAAGATAGAAATATAGGTCAAGTCACATTCGAGGACGAGTTATAAATCACTATTCCAAATTGTGATATAGTATTGCTGGTTAGTACGAATAAATGTGGTCAACTTATTTGGCTAATGAATGCAAAATATGCTCAAGGACCTCCTGTATTGGTGGCAGGAATCTCATGGCAGGATACCACATTGTGTCTATTATAAATGATATACCATTAGTCCATTATAGGCCTTTTCAAAATAGTAAAATGAGACTTTTGATTATACTTGAGGCATGAGACCTAAAAACTGCTATTCCAAGTAAATTGTGCAGTTGCTTCACTTGCTTGTCTTCTTTGAGTGTCAAATATGAGGTTTCAGCATATTAGGAACCACTTGAGAAGCTAATGAACCTACATGAATGGCTTTCTAGCTTCGTTCACCATGGGCTTCACATTTTCAATAATTCCAAATCACATGTTTCAAGATATGCTCTATGTTATAAATACTGGGAAAAGGGTACAGTGATGTACGCAGTTCTGCACCACAATCAATGCCACATAGATACCTTGGAATTACACACAAAACAATGTGTTTAACTTAAGCATTGCAATAATTGAAAACATATATTTAATGCTCGGTATTTTACTTTCTCATCTTAATATTATAAGAAAAAGGTATAATCCCACCCAAAGTTAAATATTTGCCTCAACCACCTATTGATTGTGTGTTTGGGAGATTGTCCCCCCCCCCCCACACAACCGTGCTTCCAGGATGAAAATGCCTTTTGCCTCAACTTGAGGGCAGTGGGCTAGCCATATAACCATTTCTTTCGCAACCAATGACACTAGCACAAGAACTCTAAGAGCACTGTCAAAACGTAACGTAAGTAGCATCATAAAGAGCTCTGTAACAGCTCTTACAGAGTATTTTACTTGCTAATTCCCCTCCAGAGCCACGAATCTGGCACCGTTTACCGGCTCAGTCGGATCCCATATAATAGAAAAAGAAGAAACGAACGGAAAAACTTGTCATATGGGACAAGAGAAAACTCTAGCTCTCATTCGAAGAGAGAAAACAGATTCCTTGATCCTAAGTTGTTTTGGAGAGAAAGAATCCAAGAGAAATAAAAACCATACCTCCATAAAAGCTTCTTTTACATTTAGAAGGTGGAATCTTTGTGCAGATCTTAATTTGCCGGTTTTGTTTCTCTGCAAGAATATGATATGGAATCATGTTTAGTTGATTATAAGCCACTTGGAAAGTAAAGTTGATGCCTGAAAACTCTTTGCCTTGAGAGACCAGAAGAGTAACAGTCATATTGAGAGATAAGATAAGAATAGCAATTACCAGCTTCTTGTTTCTTGTAAAGATACTTGATTCTTTCAAAGGACCTCTCTTTGGCTTCCTCTTCTTGCTCGAATTTTGCCTGCAAATAAGATGAGATACTCATAATATGATGCAATGATTTATGTTGATATATGCCATACTCTATACATAGTAGATAAAATTGCAAATGAGATGCATACCTCGTACAAATGTTTCCACAGATAAGTCTTGCCTTTCCGCATCATTTTCTCAACGTGATTGGTGTTGTTTTCACCAAATTGCCGCTCATAAAATCTCTTCCAAAGTTTATCAGTCACAGGGCTAAGATCTCTACCCTAAAATGATAAATAAAAGTAGCTTTCAAAGCCCAACCTAGTTTATGAGTTTCCAAAAGGAGAGGACGAACGAGCAGTCTTACTTCTGTTGACCTCTCAATACGTGCCAACTGGTCAATATTACAATGGGGTAGAATGCGGTCGAGAAGGTGATAGTCCGTTTCACCTACATCATCAAGGTACCTAACATAACGTATAGCAATTTGAACACACAAATCCACAAGGGACGGAACATTATGGTTCACTAGGGCACAACTCATTCTGTACTCCGGCCTGTTTTGTCAACTATTACCTGCGACGACCAAAAATATTTGTAAGTAGAATAAGAACAAACTTTAACAGCTACAAACTAAATCACACTTTTTTTTCCTCATTTAAAAAATTTTCTTTCTGTTGGGGTTTTTCAAAACTTGTGATAGAGGTGGTAATCCACTGCTCTTCTTAATTTGCACACAACAAAGGTGACTAAATGCTATCACCTTTCAACCTGTACAATCATGTTCCAAAATCTCATACCTAAATACTACATGCGTCCCATAAACGTATTCTGTTTGTTGGACTTTCTAGAAAAATGTGATCGGAACTTGTCAGGAAGAGAGTGAAATTCTGTTTGTTACTCAGCACCTAAATCAATCTCACATCGATGTAATGTCTCTTCACACAGGCAAAACTTCTACAAAATTACGAACACACAAACTTCAACTAAAAAAAAGGAAATATTATATGACAAGAACCAAAACTAAATGAGCAGATCAAAGATTCTTTGACCGATTGACTAAACAAATCCAATCTAAAATTGGGGGAAAACATGGGTATAGGAGGCTCACGAATTCACGAGTGCATGACCGGAGCGGGGAGATCTGCCGGAAGACGAAGCAGAATTCAAAAGGAATTGAGAAATTTATCATACAATTGGTAGATCTAGCTTCTAGATATCAATATGATTGCAGACAACGTAATCCAGTTATTCATAGATGAAGGTTATTGCCGATTAGCTTTTTAGGTTTTCTTTTTAATTTAATTTATTTTATTTGATGAAAGATGCAAAATTCAAAAAATAAAAAAACATGCAAACAAGTAAATTAAATTTGATCTTGTGAATAATTTTTGAGAAGATTTATGTGAAACAAAGACAATATGAAACTTTGAATAAATTAAAAATAGAAGCTTTTAATATTTAGTTATTTATTATTAAATACTTAGTATTATGGATAGTCTTATGGATAATATTTAGTATTTGTTTATAGATATCTATACTTCTATACTTTATTTAAAAAAAGGTGAATTCTCCATTTCGTTTTCCCGCCTAGATGGTCTACGCTTGTAAAAGGTAAGTGTTAAACATAAAAGGGAAGTGATAGATGTAATAATGACATATAAAAAGATAATTATAATTATTAACACAAACACATATTAATTTACCTTACTATTTTGTTAAGTAACACAAACACATACGGAGTATCAAATTACCTTACTACTAATTATTACCATAACTTAAAATTATTACCATACCTTACTATTGATTATTACCATACACAAACACGGTTTTGGTTATTAATTACTATTAATTATTAATTATTATTTAATGGTAAGGTAATTTCATACCTTAAAATTATTAATACGTGTTATAAAAGATATATTAATCATGGTACGATGTTATTATAAAAGTATAATTAACCTGGTACAATCATTTTTACTTCAAATGAAACGTAAGGAAACATACATTAAAGGAAACATAATAATAATATTTAAAAAGGTGTTTAAAATGGTGTTATAAGAATGTACATAAACACGGTATCGTGTTTCCATTTTTACTTAGAAAAGGTGTTATAAAAAGGTACATTTGGTTTGAAAGAATAATAAATACACAATAATAATTAAAAATTTAAGTTGAAAGAATAACTATATATTGCGATTTCAAGAATAATCAATCATAATGACTTGAGGATTCCCATATACAATGCAGAGATTATTCATGCAAATTAAATTATACCAAGAATGTAGTTATAAAGAAGTTTTCTAAAATATAATTAATTTAATATCAAGAATCTAAAAATAATAAAAAAATTTAAATTTTATTATATGGTCTATTTCTTTTCTTTAACTATGGCAGCAGTATATTTTCATACTGTAAATATAAGTCGTGCAACGCACGGGTGTGATACTAGTCTCTTCATGGATAGTCTTATTTGATCTTTCATTATGATGATGCTAAATTTATAATTAAAACCGTACCTTTAACTTTACATTGATTCTAGGTCCGCCATGCATGTGTGTACTGGTTTGACGGACAACACAACGATAATTTGACTGTAGATTTGGATTCTATCTAACAACGACACTTATTACTCTCTCTCTCTCTCTCTCCGTGAATTTTATCATCCTCTGTTATTGGGTAGAAACCGATTCCCTAATAATACTCAATTATTACGGAGAAGATGACAAACACATTGTTTGTTCATTCGTCCCCTATATACGATACTCCGCATATGTTTTATTATCTTCAATAATTGTTTCTCATAAGATATTCCAAAAATAAATATTTAAACATTAATAACTCTATTATTATGTATTATCTATTCATACATTCTCAACCTATTAAAACTTGTCGAGTTACTGTCCGCACTAGGGATCGAACATGTGACCACTCATTTGGGAGAGTCATAGTGATGTCATCAAACTATAATTTTATATAGTGAAATTTGCACTAAATAGGACTAAAACATAATGACTTTTCTAATGTAGGACTTAAACTTTTTTATTCCCTGAATAGGACTTAATAATGACCTTGTGGAAGGAATAATGTCCAGTAATGATGGACATTTAGTTGAATAATGACTACTTGATAATGACCAAAAGTCCTACATTGGGAAATAAAAACATATAGTCCTATATTGGAAAAATCATTATGTTTTAGTCCTATTTAAGTAAATTTCTCTTTTATATATGATACTTTGAACTGAGTTCATATCTCTTTTTGTCTAAATTGATTTCATTTTCCATTAGTAAAATGTGTTCCATATTTTTTAAAGTAATATCATCTTAATTATGCTAACCATGTTCAATGAGAAAAATGGAACACTAAATAATGGTGTGCCTTGATGTAAACATCAAAGAATTGTGTTTTAGACACAATACATCAAAGACCTTGAAGGCACTCTCTATTACCATCAAAGATATACATGCAAAGATAAAGCATCTTCAATTGGTAAAAGATTTCAATTGATATCCTTCTCTAAGGATTCTCTACTAAGGTTTGCATTGATGCCTACCTTTCTTAAGTTTCCTTGGATGTATGAGCATACAATATTGTATCAATATGCCTTATATGTTATTCCTTAGTATTTTATACATTAGATAATGTGTTAACTGATATTTCTTTTAAAATTATTTTTTATTTGCTATCGCTTCTCGAATATGTTTTTGACTTTATCTAGCCCATTTTATAAACTTTGGAATAAAATATATAAACACGTACTTTTAGGGAAAAAAATTAAAAAGGTCATCGTAAAAAAAATTTCCACCAAGAGGGAGAAAGATTTATTGAAATACATTTTTGAAGATGTCACAAGAAGCCTTGAGATGAAGAAAATTGACACATCATGTATGGAGGCTGTGTGTGAAAGACTACTAGAGCTTATTGTTTAGGACACAAAGAGATTAGAATGCCTAAAGGTGGCACTCGAAGGCCGCACATTGTATTTGTTTGATTCATTGTACGTAGTTGCTTCTTATATATGTACATACTCTAAGGTAAATAGAGATGAAGGTCTAGTTCGGGTCCAATTCTTCTTGATTGTTTGGACGTGGGTTTAGTGATATGAGCTACCTGTCCATGGTCAGGTTGAGTTGGCTATAATAATTAAGATCTCACCACTCGTTGTAAGGGCTAGCTATAAAGAGATTCAAATGTTGGACTTGTTTGTCCAAATACTAACTAGGTCAAGGAAGACTCGCACGAATTTATTATTTCCAAGTTGGGTATTACTTTTTTTTACAGAAATAACCCAAATGTTCTAATTTAAAGGGGGTGTTGAGGATACAAAGAGGTTAGGATGCGAAGAGGTGGCACACAAATATTGTTTGAATACATTGTATTTGCGACTCATTGTATGTATTTGCTTCCTATATACGTACATCTTCTAGGACGAATAAAGATAGAAAATTTCCTGCACAAATTATCTTTGTAATACTTACATAGTGGAGGGGTGTACACGGAGAGCATTTTACTCTCTTCTAAATGGAATCCCAAACACCAATTTGTAAATCATGATTCACATTAGATTAGAGCACATTTGAGCATTTAATAAATGAATAAATTGATGAGGATCATACCATCTAAACCATTTACCTCAATCTCACTTCTTATATTTTGATCCTCTTATTCTTCTTGGATTGTATTCTTGCTCCAATCACTTATAGATAAATAAAGGATAAGGCCATGCACAAGCAATCTTATCTACGTTTGTGATTAATAGATCCGATGACGGACCCAAGTATCCAACTCGCTAGGAAAATAGTAGGCTCGGGCTTAGAATTTTGTGGTCTGGGTCTTCCTGGTTCGAACCGATAAAAGTATAATTAATAATAATAATAATAATAATAATAATAATAATAATAATAATAATAATAGTGCATATGATAATAATAAGAATCAGAATAAAAATAATACTCCCTCTGTCCATTAGTTTCTTTCTCACTTTCCTTTTTGGGTTGTCCAAAAAATTTCTTTTCTCGTTTTTTATTTTGGCAAAAAACTTTTGATAAATGTGCCATTAAACCCATACTTTTTTCTCTACACTATTCACTTTATTCCATCACATTAAGGGCAACACATGAAAAATCTTTACACTTTTTAACTTTTTTTAATCTTCGTACCAAGTCAAACCAGGAAAGAAATTTTAGACGGAGGGAGTAGTTGTACTAAAAATAATAATACTTATTATTGTTATTATATAAACACACATGCATACTTCTAAAGAATAAAAGAACAGAAAAATGACTATATCTAATCAAATGAATATAAACAAATATACGTAATAATGATTTTAAATAACATACGTAAAAAGAAACATACGTAATATAATAATCATAGAACACAAAACACGTTGCACATATTATTTATTACTTTGATAGTGTATTCATCATAATTTTTATATCGAACAACTAATATATTACCATGCACATTAAAAAAATTTAATTGTTTAAAACATAAGGTCAGGCCTGGCCAAAGCCCGCGGATACCCAGTAGACTGGGCTCAGGTTTTTAATTGTTAGGTCTATTATGCAAGTTATCCCACACTTTGATCAAGTCTAGTGATTAGTGCAGAGTAGTTTTTTTTTAAACCTACTGAAAATTTCTATTAATTAACCAAGAAACAAATAACAAAGTTTGGAGGAGACTCGACCCAAACACTAGGTAGAGAAATTCCCCGTCTAGCAAGTGAATGCAGAATTACTTTGTCATTAAGAGAAACGAAAGAAACTAAACTGGAGTTAAACTTCTTGAACAGAGACTGACAATCTAAAATTATAGAACCAAATTAAAATACGACAACAAACTAAGGTTCTCTAGTAAAGCCTTGACCACCTGCAAACAATCTGAAAAGATCAAAATATTTGGAATCTCTTTTTGAATAAGCCAAGAGAGCACCTCACGACAAGCCATCTCTTCCACCAAAGAAGGGTCCAAAGTAAAACTAAGCTCTTTGTTGAACGCAACAAAAAACGAGCCATCCTATGAATCAATAAAAGAACATGTAATAAACTTGTCTTTATGTTATGTATTACTCGTATAATTTAGTATATTGAAAACATTCTTATATATATATATATATATATATATATATATGGATTAGAAACTGAGACTTAGTTTTCAAAATAAGTCTTCGAGGTCATAAGTCACACATGTTGTAGACGCATAATATAAGATCATTCATATCATGGCAGATCCGCTTAAGAGGTCAGGCCTAGTGGGCCTCTTATAGCGGGGTCGTCTAGGAGCCTTCGGGTCCAAGGAGTTTCATTTGGAGGGCTTGTGTACGTACATGGTAACTAGGTTGCAGTTACCATCAATTATTTCTAGTCTCATCAAGAGACTAAGGCTTGCTCGAATCATCACCGTTGTGGGATGACGTCAGAGCGCAGGGGTCCCTGCATAGTCTAACTCACGCATCATATTTTATGTAGTCATTATGAGGTTCCCGTACTTTAAGTACAAGTATGCAACATTCGGTCAATATGTGGGCCATTTGGTCGTTATGAAATTTCGTACTTTAAGTACAGGTTTAATAACAACACTTGGTCATTATATAAATCCAGTATGTTAAATATAAGTATGAATGTGGGTGTATCTATATAGTTTATCGCTATGTTTTCCTACAACTAGTTCACCACTCAGCTCATGCCGAGCGTATAGTATTGTTTTTGCTATATGCAGGTAGGCACGATGAACATGGAACCTATCCCGGAGGGCAACGAGAGTGAGGAGATGTACGGACGACCAATCATGGATTTCTAGGTTTTTACCTTAATATTATTCCAATCATTTTGGGCTTGAACCCACATTTGTTGCACTTTAATTTCATGGACTGAACTTACGATTTTCCTCTTGCTTCTGCAACTTAAAATTATTTACTCCGTATGGTTTAGGGAGTTAATCCTAGGATCTTCAAGAATAAGGTTTTCATCTTCTCTTAAATTGTTTTCTTTTCCTCAAAGATTTTACTATAGATGACCCTCAATACCATTTATGTAACCTCCCCGGCCCGTTGGACTACGACGAACCGGGTTCTTGCAGTAGCTACAGGTCACGCCTTTGTCACAATTAGCATCGGCAGAAGTAGCACGAGTGACGAAGACAACAGTCTCTGGTCGATCACGAGTGACAGAGGCCCTGGCAGTTTCTTCCTGGGTGAGTACGCGATATGCACGTGTGGTGGTAGGGAACTGCTCTTGAGACAAGAGCGTAGACCGGAGGTGACGGTAGATGGTGTCGTCCAAACCCATTAAAAATTGATGAACTTTCTCCTCGTCTCTTTGTTTCTTTGTTGAGCGATATTACACGTGCATTTTCCACATACACACACGGGATAAGAATCAATATCGTTGAGGTCATCCCACAACTTCTTGAGTTTTCCATAATAAGCCGCAATATTCAACCCGTGTTGATTGCAAGTCGAAAGTTCCTGCTTGATCTGTTGAATCCGTGGCCCATTAACCACGGAAAATTGCGCCTTGATGTCTTCCCATAACTCGCTAGACATCTCCATTTGAGAAATCATCGTGCGGAGAGATGACTCAATAGTGTTGCGTACCCATGACACGATCAAGGAATTGTTCGTCCACCAATCCTCAAGGTCACTGGAGCCCTCCGGCGGTTGTGGATAGGGATGAGCAACGGTCGGTTTCGGTTTGAAACCGAAAAAACCGACTTTTTTTAACATGGTTGAAAACCGACCGAACCGACTATAAATTAAAACCGACCGAACCGAAACTGAAAACCGCCCATACATTAAAAAAACCGACCGAAAAACCGAATTCTAATTACTTTTATTTTTATTTTTTAATATAAATCCAAGAAACTAATTCGGCAAGGTAGATTGATATGTATTAAATTAGTTTAGATTAAGACTTTTCTATTGTCATTGATTTAGTAAGGTAGAATAATTTTTATTTGAATATACACTATCCATTTCATATAAAAATTGCACTTTTCTTATTAATATATTCAAAACATTAACAAATAAATTTTTTAAAAGTGAAACATTATAGTTTTCCATGAAAGAGTAAAAAGAAAGCATGTATGTTAATCAAATATTTTCTTATTTTAAAAAATAAAAAATAAATTAAAATAAAATCATCGGTTATTCGGTCGGTTTGGTTTTTCTTACAAAAAAACCGAAAACCGACCGAAAAACCAAAAAAACCGAAAATAACTTTTACATGAAAACCAAAACCGAAACCGAAACCGAACTTCCGATTATTTCGGTTTTTCGGTTTTTCTGCATCGCGGTCGGGCCGGTTAATTTGCTCACCCCTAGTTGTGGAATCCAACCATCCACGAAACCAAACTTCTTGCGAGACCGAAGAGCGGTACAAATGGCACGTGCCCATTCCTCGCAATTCTCGCCCTTCAACACAACTTGAGTAATGATCAACCCAGGGTTATCGTTAGCATGCAAATCGTACGGGGATATTGTACGTCGTTGTGGGACGTCCCCGGCAGGTTTCTTCGTGGCCGCCCGATCTTCTGACACCATAGGTGATCACGCTCTGCGATTCCTCAGCAAGAGGCGCTGATCGAGAAAAAAAATGGTTGAAAAGAAAGGATTGTGGCTTCGATACCATGTTAGATTTTGAAGAACACTTCGGTAAAATACCGTATATTTTCTTGTGTGTCAAAATGTACATGAGGCGTGTGTATATGTACACAAAGATATGCAAGGAAACCTACACATAATAGAAGTCTATGGATAATACAAATGGTAAGTTAATAATGGTCTTCATTTGATAGTGTCGTGCGCAGCTCTTCTCCTCATGCCAAGAGATATGCTTGCCATGAATAATAATATACTAATATTATTGTGATATTATTTCCTTAACATGGTGTTTGAGGTTAAATGTCTTCACATTTTATTTTTTCGTTATTGGTTCTGTAATAATTTTCATTTGCTTTCAAAAAAAATTAGTGCCTTGTACGAGTATAGGCTAGAGACTCCAACACAAGAAATAATATAACTCACTTAATAAATTAACTTAAACCACTACCAAAAGGAGGACTCCACTATCATTTGATTAAGCAAAAAACTAAAATTATAAAAACAAAAAGGAGATAATGTCTCGTGATCTACCGACTACTTCTCCATTATTGCATGTCACACATAAATAGGAGTTTTTTGTAAATAAAAAATAGATTTGTTGCAAGGTTAGGAGTACTCAATACACGATAAAAAAAGAACGTTTTTGAAATCAAACGAACATATGAAAAATTTGACTGCAAAAATAAAAAGAACAAAATTAATGTTAGGTCATTGGTTTTTGTTGAAATTAGAATTGTTATTTTTTTCAAGCAAACTTAAATTTTACGTCATTAAGTTCATTAAGGATCAATTTGGTCACCAAAGGAGAATTGTTATAATATGTGTATTTGTTTTCAAGGGTATTATACTATTATTGTATATTCAATAATATTAGTATGGGGCAAGACCTTAATCTCAATGAAATTAGATCACAAGATGTAAATACAACAAGAGTAACATAGATTTAGTGTGATTATGGTAAAATAACGCACGTTAAGTGTTAAGCACTCATGCAATTGGTGTAAATGCACATGAAAATATTAAGGGTGAGGGAATAAGTGTGGATGGGTCTGTTGAAGAGTCAACTTGCAAAAGAACAAGCACGACAAGTAATAAGCATTCGGTCACAGCAAAAACAAAAGTGCCACACAAACAAGTAGTGTTGATGGGTTTGTTGAAGAGTTAACTTGCAAAAGAACAAGCACGACAAGTAATAAGCATTCGGTCATAGCAAAAACAAAAGTGCCACACAAACAAGTGCAAATACTAGGAGTATATGAAAGGACAACATGTCATATCAAACCCTAAAGTAATGCAGTCCTCGTCAAAGATACCTGCAACAACATAACAACAATGCATAAGGAAATACCCGTAAATAACTTTTACTTTCTTTTTTTTCAAACAAAAACATTAATAAATTTTTTTTAAAGAAAATTTTAACGTTACCCAGTGTTAGCCTTGGTTTGCTAAGCCTCATGTTTTGATGTTAACAAACAATATAAGAGCTTAACGTTTGTTTAAGTGTTTCAGGTAAAATAAGAATCCATTAAGATTCGGCACTCAAGAATGAAGTCGAAACACTAAACTAGCGTAGAATATATGTAGAAACCGATGTAAGGATATGACTTTATATACCTATATTCACAAGCTCAAAAGCACTCACAAAATATGTTTAAAACCATCCCATAAACATTTTCAAACATCTAAAAGGTTTTAAACTCAAACACGAAGAATTAAGAGAATTTTGGAAAAATTAGGACAGTGGCACGGTACCCCTAGCGGTACCCCAAACGGTAGGGTATACCACCTACACGGTACCCCCATACCGTGTAACGGTACCTAGGTACCGGATGGTAGGCATAGACGGTTGGCCCAACCCGTCCTAACCAGGTACCGCCAGAGGCAAACCGAACTTTTGGCTTACACGGTACCCCCAAACGGTAGGATATACCGTGGTCACGGTACCTAGGTACCAGACGGTACTGACCCTACCGTGAAGGGTACCGGATCCGTTGTAATCACTGTAGCAAATTGCCAATTTAAATTCTAATCACCCCTAATCACCTCCCAATGGCTAATTAACATCTTCCACTATAAATACAAGCCTAATCCTTCATATTTCTTCAAGAAACAAAGATCTAAACATCCTCTCTTTTTATTCCAAGTGTGTTCATCCTTCTATTAATTACTTTCAATATTTTTGGCTATTTTAAGAGCCTTAAATTCCTAATTTTTATACACACACTTTGAGCTTGTGTTTCTAGTTATATACTCTCATATTCATAAGTTTGAATTGTATTTTTGAGAGAGTATACTTTCTTTCTACACCGGCTAAGTTTTGTTCTTCATTTTTATATTCTAGCCGTTGTGTAGAATCCTCTTTTGTGTTCTTCAAACACACCTTCTTACGGTCGAGAATAGCCGTTAAATTCCACATTGTAACGGTCAAGGATAGCCGTATAAATCCTTGGGTAAAGGTTCAAGGATAGCCTTTGAAATCCTTGGGGGAACGGTAGAAGATAGCCGTTAAATCTTCATTGTAAACGGTTCGAGATAGCCGTTGTGAAATCTCGCAGTGAATCCTATTGGCAAGGGTTGTTTGCCAAAACTAGTGCGGTGCTTTGACGGAGTTCAAAAGGCCGAGACTTAGTGGATCCGGAAATCCTTGAGGAGGAGCCTCGAGGTACTGGAGTAGGTGTTTCCCGAACCACTATAAAATCAGTGTGCATTTTTATTACGCTTTTATTTCTGCGTTTTAGTTATTGCTTCCGCATTTGCCAACACCGTTTTTATCAAACTCCGAAAAGTTTTCAAACGCCTTATTCACCCCCCCTCTAAGGCATGGGCACAACGTCTAAACCGACTAACACCCAGGAGACGGGCTTGGCAGGCCCGGTAATCGCTCCCTTCATCACTCCAAGGGTGAACGATAGTCCAAGCAACGAGTCTAAAACAGTTTGAGACATACTTCGCTGGATTCATCCAAAGCTAGATCCCCTTTTGTCCAGTTCATCTTGAACATGAATTTAATTGGCTCAGTGATGTTGATGTTGATCAGTCCGATTAACTACAAAAGAGTAACACATTCAATTCCTGACAGAGTACTACATACTGTGATTGTAAATAGATTCACTCACTCCATTCATAACGCCCCGAGCCAGTTCCTTTTTTGATTCGTCGAATATGGCGAATTCAACAGCCAATTCGGAGATGACAACTCTAGCAGAGCGGTGGTCAATTGTCTTATCTACAAACAAACAAACAAACACAGATTATAAAATACGATTACATACATTGAAGTCCAATAAGAATAAGCAGCGACATTAGCATCACCTGGACGTTTTAGGTAGCAATTAGAAGCATCCCTTGCAAAGTCAAAAAAAGCAGCAGGAGTGGTTTTTTCCTGTGGAGACTTCAGTGACTCTCTAATTCTCGACACATCGTCTAGCTACTGAGGCGCAGTGCTCAAAAATGAGTATGTGGTGATGCTCTTTCCGGGGAGGTCATCTGTAACAACAAAAGAGAAAATTAATATTAGACAAAACCAAAGAATTTCAAAGAAATTAATTTGAGACAGATTACCGTTGATTATACAAAGCAGAGGTCTCCCCTCTTGAGATGGATTAATGAATTGTAGGGAAGAGTTGTCGCCTGCTATAAAAAAGGCCTCCTGTAGCTCTTTGGCTGACACTTCACCACCGTAAAACATGTTTGTGGAGTGGAAAGTGTGAAAGCTTTCTGGCTCCAAGAAGAGTGCAACCCTTGCCTCTTGTTCGCGGTCGCGCTGAGTAGAATCTGGACACACCTGGAACATTAGATAATGTGGCTTCCAGATCATGACAATTTTGTTAACGGACACTAGAACAGGATCTGTTTTGATGGTGCAAATAACACTGATGGCGTCATTCAGGGGCTTGGCATTCCGAATCTTGATAAGCAAGCCCATCCTGTGCAGAAAAACAACCACATTGCAATTCAATAATCTATGATGGAAGTACAACAAATTGATATAACAACATTCCAATTGAATAATCTGCAAGGCGATAGGGAATTAGACTTGTTCAACAGAGATGCGTAACCTAACAAGCTTATAAGCAAATCCGTATAATGAGGTTCATTTTTGTAGAGTTGCTCTAGTCTAGTCTGTCTAGTAGTAGTAGTAGGAAAAGAAACAAAATGCATATAGATTAAAGCCCAAGCAAATTGGGATTAGACAGAATCGCAGATACAGAAAAGGAATTCCAACAAGTATGCAAAAAAATCATCACCTAATCACAGATACAGAAAAAGGAATTCCAACGACTATGCAAAAAAATTCATCGACTTAGACCTAATCGCAGATGTAGAAAAGGAAACCGGAAACTCTAGATACTACCGATTACCTTTATCGATGTTCAAAATCAGATCCACAGCTACATACATAATCTCACAAGCAAGCAAATGCATAAAACGAGGTTGAATTTTGTAGTAGAAACAAGATGCATATAGATTGAAGGCTAAGCAAATTGCGATTACACGGATCACAGATAGGAATTCCGAGATTACAGAGGATGCAAAATATTTCATCGACTTAGACCGAATCGCACATGCAGAAAAGCAAATCCGAGACTCTAGATACTACCGATTACCTTTATCGACGTTCAGATAAGACGAGATTAATACAAAATCAGAATCACAGCTTAGCTCAGAGTGAAAATTAAACGCAGCTACATACATAATCTCAGAAGCTTATAAGCAAGCAAATGCATAAAACGAGGTTCAATTTTGTAGTAGAAACAAGATGCATATAGATTGAAGGCGAAACAAGATGCATTATATATTGTAACCCTTCGTTATTATTCCATCAATCAATAATCAAGAATTCTCTCAATCTCTCGTCTCTCTTTTCTTGGAGTCCAGAAACGCTCGAAGTTTTCCTTCTCTCTTTACCTCCCCTTTCTTGGAGCCTGAAGACGCTCGAAGTCCTTCCCGATCCGATACGATATTCGTATCAATTGGTGCTCTCATTCTCTTGAACTAAAAAAAATCAGTGTTACTGCACCGGGATCGCCTACGCCTTACACGAAGTAGTGCACTGCGGCAGTTTAATCTTGCTCCTAGACTGGCAACAACAATGTTGTGGCAGGTCTTTCAATTGTAAGAAGTGCTATGAATCTCAATTTCATTCCACAACTTATTTTCTTTTGCACGAGTGAGGTGGATTTGCAAAAAAAACAAAAAATACAAGGTGTGTTCTTCGGCAAATTGGCATAGTACAATTTCAAAAATAATAGTGATTTATTTGGTGCGGCCCACTAATTGGTGCATAAGGGAGTATTTGTTTTCAACTACAAAAGTTCTCCACTCAGACTTTTGCGTATTGTTTCTGCCCTGAGTGTCAAAATTGCATCACTAATCGCCAGACACAATTGTGGATCCAATAGTTGCTCCAGTTTGTTCAGGTAATTTGGATATTTACGGAGTATTTTTGTGACATTTCTGTGTGGTGGTGTTAATTTTGATAATGGATTATGCGTTGGACGGACTTCTTGGTTTGCTAGAGGAGGTTCTTTATGGAGAAATTGCGTATGATGAAGGGGTGTGTTTGATTTTTGATCACGTGTATGAAATTATTATGAAGCTCAGGTCGATCCATAATTTTAAAGGTCAAATTGATTATGATGCGCTCGACGTATAAATTTTTTGCTCGGTACAGGATTTGGTTCGTGGACCTCCAATTGTGCCATATCAAATTCCTTTAGAATTGCATGTTTTCAGAGCACACATTATGGGTATTATACGGAAAGTAACAGGCGCTCCATTTTCTCCACCAATGTTGCCCCCAAAATGTGACGGGTCCGAACCCTTGCCGTGGTTAGCCAAGCTATGTGAGTATTTTGAGTTTTATGAGATCCCTTTAGCTGATCGTTTACACCGTGTGACATCAATGTTAGAGGGCTCTGCCTTGTCTTGGTTTATTTGGCGCATGCGTGGTGGCTTAATTGATGGTTGGGAGGATTTTGTTGAAAAGTTTAAGATTCGATTTGCTCCGTTACATGCTTTGGATTATATTTCTTTGGCAAAGACATCAGAAAAGGCTAGAGACACATTTGTCCACATGAAGAAAGATCTCGTGGCATTCTCTGCCCCAACTGTGGAGGACATAGATGCGTTAAAAGGATCAAGTACGAGTTCTCATATCAAAGACGACGATTATAGCGGGTCTGGCATCATTGACGAGGGTGGTGGTGCCCTTGCTGCAAATTATGGTGCTAATATTGAGCGTGATGAGCCATCAAACAAATCAGATTCTACTAGTCGTGAATTATATGTGCCACTAAACGCCTCAGTTAGGATGAAAATTGCAGAGTATGAAGCTCTAGCAAGTATGGAGAAGGTGGCAGATGCAGATAAGAAGCAAGTGGCCAACCTCATTTCATTTGATGACACCATTAAATTGTTTGACCTTGTCGATGTGGTCAACACGGAGCACCTTGTTTCACCGAGAGCAACTACATATGCTATGGGCCCCGTCTCCTTTTCCCCAACTTTGCTGCAAGAGCCAAGCTCGGTGAAGATTCAAAGAGTGGACTGCTCCTTTGGTTTAGCATTATCTCTCCAGTCTAGAAGCACGAGTGGGAGCCTCCACCTTGAGGACAAGGTGGTATTTAAGGGGGTGGGAATGTTATGGATAGTTAATTATAATATTTTAATTAGTTATATGATTATTTAGTACTTATTTATTATTATTATTACTATTATTATTATTATTATTTATTGATGGTTTATGGTTTTAGTATGGGTGATATGAATTCGGCACAACACGAGGAGCCGCCGACTAGGCGTAGCGCATGAACTAGACGACCACCGGGGTGGCAACGAGAGTTCGAGATGCATTAATTAATTTACCTTATTTTATTATTTTAAATGTATCGTAGATTTTCTTAGGTGAGCGAATTATAAGCTCCTTCGAGGGTTTCTTTACGGTTCTTTACCTCGTCGCTTTTCTTGAACCGTCAAGATAGATAACGTTTTTTAGGTTTAGAGCTTACGTCTTTTCTTTAAATAGGGACTCCACCATCATATTGAAGGAGGAATAAAAAACCCTAATCTTGCCCTAATCTCCTCTCTTCTCCTTCCCCTGCCGTACCTCACGGCTCTCTCTCTCTCTCTCTCACTTCCTCTCTCGTTCTTCTTCTTGCCGAGCTCGGAGACGCTCCAAGTCTCTCATACTGATACCTATACGTATCATTGGTGCTTTCATTGATTACTCATGTCGTCCGAAGTGGTCACCTCCGCCGATTTTTGGGATTTTCAGCAGCAAATTGATCGCCAACTTTTGGCGCACACTACAACCATGCAAGCCCTCAATTACACCATGGAGCAGCTCCAGCAGCGGTGTGAGGCTCTGTTCACCCGTCTCGAGAAAAACCCAAGCACTGGTGGTACACTGGCGCGCATGGGTGGAAGCAGCGGCCCTGAGCCGGCCCCTTTTACGTCCAGGTTGAAACTCGAGATGCCTAAAACGGATGGTACCGATCCGCTAGGGTGGTTGTTCAAGGCGCATGAATACTTTGTCTTCTACGGGGTTACGGACGAGGCACGTCTACCAGCGGTTTCGCTCATGTTTGACGGACTGGCGTTGGACTGGTTTCGTTGGTGGCAAAGAAACGATCTTGTTCTGACTTGGGCTGATTTTGTCTCCTAATTCAAGCTTCGTTTTGACCCGTTGAGTTACGTGGATTATTTTGGTCTCCTCTCTAAAGTTTGTCAAACCGGGACAGTATTGGAATATCAACAGGCGTTCGAAAAAGTGTTGGTTAATGTGACGGGTGTCGCCGAGGAAAATCTTCAATCTCTTTTCCACGCCGGGTTGAAATCACACCTCCAACACGAGATTATGTTGCACAAACCAGGTTCCTTATCCGCTTCGTTTGCTCTCACGCGTGAACTGGAGGTGAAATATCTTGCTTGGACTTCCGCCTTGCCAACTCGATCTGGGAATTTTCGTGAAGCCATACCAGCAAAACCCACGGCCCCTGCCCAGGCCGTGCCTCTGTTGCCCTCGCTAGAAGCAAAACCTCCCCCACGTGCCACCCCTACGACAGGACTGCCAGTTCGGCGTCTATCCTACGCCGAAAGAAAAGCTCGTGACGCCAAAGGCCTTTGCTACAACTGTGATGAAAAATGGGTAAAAGGACATAGTTGCGGCCGATTTTTGCTTTTACTGGAGGATGATGACGAGGAGGAGATTCTGTCCTCAGTGGATGATACGGTGCTTTCAGCGGACGTTTCTTCTCTCCATAGTTTGGTCATGGCTCCACGGTCCTTACGAATGTCGGGTATGCTCGGCGCCGTGGTAGTGGACGTCTTAATCGATGGGGGAAGCACCCATAATTTTGTTCACACATCGCTTGTCGCTCGTGCACAGCTCCCCGTCTCGAACATTCCCCCTTTCCGGGTGTACGTGGGCAACGACGAATCCTTACTCTGTACTCGGCAGTGCCTTAATGTGTCTCTTCTTTTGCAGGGTTTTCAATTTACGGTGGACGTGTATGTGTTGCCTATTCACGGGCCCGATATGGTACTTGGTGTTCAATGGTTACAATTGTTGGGTCGGGTCACCCACGACTATGCCAACCTCATCATGGAGTTCACGTGGCAGGACAAAGCCGTTAGCTTGCGCGGAGACCCTATCTCCCCTAAACCCGTGTCCCTGCATCATTTCAACGGTCTGTGTACCGCGAACCAAGTCGCGGCATGCTACGAACTGCTAATTTTCCCAAGCCCGAACATCGCACCTGCCGAGGGGGAGCACTGGCCGACAGATTTGCCAGGTAACATCGAGCGGGTCTTACGACAACATGCTTCGATGTTTGCACAGCCCACCGGTTTACCACCACGCCGCCTGGCCGACCACCGGATATTTTTACAATCGGCCGTATCGATATCCCCAGTTCCAAAAGAATGAAATCGAGCGCCTTGTCCAGGAGATGTTAACCCAGGGGTTGATCCAGCCGAGTAGAAGCCCGTTCTCTTCTCTAGTCTTGCTCGTCAAAAAGAAGGATGGCACGTACCGTTTTTGTGTCGATTACATAGCCTTGAACGCCGTCATGGTCCCGGATCATTTTCCCATTCTTACGGAAGACGAGTTATTCGACGAGTTGGGCGCGGCATGCTATTTTTCTAAACTGGATCTCCGTTCCGGATATCATCAGATCCGTATGCACGATTGGGATATTTACAAAACGGCCTTCCGCACTCACGAAGGGCATTATGAATTCCGGGTGATGCCGTTTGGATTGACGAACGCCCCATCCACTTTTCAGGCGTGTATGAACAGGTTGTTCGCGGCCTACTTGCGCCGTTTTGTGATTGTGTTCTTCGACGACATTTTGGTTTATAGTCCCTCTCTTCAAGATCATGCTATGCATCTGCAGGTGGTACTTAATTTGCTACATTCACATACATTCTTTGTTAAGCTCTCCAAATGTTCTTTTTGCACGACGAAGATTGAGTACTTGGTCCATATCATTACCGCGGGACATCTTCACGTTGATAGAGCCAAAATTGCGGCTATGGTGGACTAGCCGATTCCAAAGACGGTGAAACAGCTCCGGGGTTTTTTGGGATTGACATGGTATTACCGGTGATTTATCAAGCTTTATGCGCACCTGGCGGCCCCTTTGACAAACCTCCTCAAAAAGGACGCGTTTGGGTAGACTGACGCGGCGACCACGGCATTCCAGAGCCTCAAAACAACCCTCTCTTCAGCGCCAGTGTTGCGCCTACCCTATTTTTCCAAGCCATTCGTCGTCGACACTGACGCTTCAGGTACCGGGATTGGCGCGGTCCTTTTACAAGACGATCACCCTATTGCCTATTTTAGCAAGAAGTAGGGCCCCCGTCGGTTGTACGCTTCCACCTACCACAAGGAATTATATGCCATCGTGGAGGCCGTGCAAAAGTGGCGTCAAAATTTGTTGGGCCGTGAATTTCTCATCCGCACGGATCAGCGGAGTCTCCGGGAGTTGTTGCAACAGGTTATCCAGACCCCGGATCAACATTTCTATGTGCGCAAACTGTTGGGGTATCGTTTTCGCATCGAGTATAAGCCAGGGCGCACCAATTGCGTGGCCGATGTTAAGTCACAAAATGTCATATTTTATTCTCTCATTTCTTAGTACTTTTAAAATATTTAATATGCATTTTATATCTATATAATCACATTTTGTTCTATTTAGCATTTTAGGCTATTCTTTACATTTTATACATAAAATGCATAATTTTGAGCATATTTATATTCTACAAATATTTTGGAAGTATTATTTATTACCTTGATACAAATTTTTAGATATGGAGTACAAAAGAATGAAGAAATGTCAAAGTGGAATGCATATTTACAAAGAGTTATTGGGCCAAGTCAATTTGACCCAAATGATCAAGTCACAATTGAAGCAAAGGAAAACAAAAGTTAAAAGAAAAAAGAAGACGGAAACTGAAGAAATAAACGGAGAGCAGCGGAAGAAGTGTGAAGAAGTGGATTGCATAGAGTCTTCTTCTCCAATTCAATATCTTCAAAATTCAATTATAAAAAGAGGAGATAGAGATGAGAAAAAAGGGGGGCATATACGGAGACGGAAAAGGAACAAAGAGAGCCAACCTAGGGTTTCGACCCTAGGTCCGGCGCGGCACTCGGCGACTCAACTCCGGCGCGGTGATGGCAGCGTCTGGCAACGATTTCGGCAGCAGCCATGGATTCCGACGACCGTCGTACAGTGCAGCAGCAACGAGGAAGCACATACTCAGGGAGCAATTTTTTCCTTAATCTCAATTTTTCTAAAATTGTTAACTCTCCGTAGGATTTCATGTTGTTGACTTTGCAATGGATGAATTTGTTTTATATCAAATATGTTTGAATTATGTTTTTCAAAATCTTGTTTTCGTGTTGAATGTTTAATTTAAATTGTAAGTGTTGAATTGTTTGTCTTGATGTTGAATTGTTCAAATTTGATTGTTAATTTATTATTGTCTCTGCAATTATAAAACTTTCTTAGGTCGAATTGTTTGATAAAAAAGATTGAATCTTTGTTAAGAAAACCCCCTAAATAAGAGTAAAACATGTGTTATATCCTCAAAGTAGGAGTTCAAACTTAAACTCCTCTAAGTAGGAGTAATTAACTATTTTTATTACTTAAATAATAGAAATATTCACAGGCCATTCATTTTCTTTTCGCCAATAAGTCAACATCGCCATATGTGTTATAATCAACACGATGTGCAGTTTGGCCCTTTTTGTGCAGGAGATAATTATTGTGTGTGCATTGATGGGGTGAGTGATTCGAGGACCATCATCTAAAATGGAGTCTATTATAATCCTAACACCGTCAAAGCTCATCACTGCAACTATGCAGTGAATAGCTATTACCAAATCTTTGACTGGCACACCAAAGCAGTAGGATTTGGTTTGGCATTATGCCATTGTGTAACATTGTGACATTATATATGAGCATATGTGGCATTATATATGGGCATCTATGATATTATATATTGTCATATGTGACATTACATGGTGTCATGTTTGACATTAATATGTGTGTCTTTAACACTTTATTGACTGTTAATGTGACACTGTGGCGACGATGGTGCAGATTGTGATGGTAGTGTTATTGATAATGGTATATATAGCGGTGATGTCATCGGCGGTGCAAAATTTCAAAAATAAATATTATCATGGGGATCCGGTGACTCTAATTAGTTTCATCTTTCTCTACTCCTTCTCCTCATAGCCACCCAACCATGCTATTTTTTCCTTCACTTTTTGTTGTTTTTTCTTTCACTTTTTTGTCTAATTTGAACATTAAAAAAAGAACATTCAAAATTAAAATATACAAAGTATTTAAAATGAGCCCGGTTCTATGGCCACTAGAATCCAGTGGCCATAGAACCGGGCTCATTTAAAATATAGGGTGCTATTTAGTAGACACTAATCACTCAAATCTCATTTACAATTGTGTTCATTATGATAATATGTTGAACAAAATATTACAGACGTTGTGAAAATTATGTATGCTAAGGGCCATTAACTCAAATTTTGGAGATCTTATCTTTCAACTCCTATTTTGGGGATTTTATCTTTCAACTCCTATTTTGGAGTTTAATCAATGTTTTACTCCTATTTTGGTCCTTAACCCATCTTTGTTTGTTAAATTAATGACTTTGAAGGAATTTTAGCTCTATGCTACTGTTAAATCTAAACTCGAAGAGGTGTTCTGGGAACTATTATTCACCAAAATTTACTTAAATTGGACCAAATTAGGAACGCGCGCCTAATCCAGTTTAAATTGATATTTTTTTAAAGTCCAAAGTGTTTTGAATAGCCGAACTTTTCTAAAAACTAAGTCTCACTTGATTAGCCTTGGCTGCCTCGTTAAGTAGTTTTTGCTAATCAAGGTTCTCGTACTGATTTTGTTAAATAACCGTAGTGTTACTGCAAAGTTGTTATGGTGATGTTTTCCAAAGATTTTAATGCGCTATTCTTAGTAGTAACTTAAGGGTTGGTCTTTAGGTTGCTAAGGGTAGTAGGGTTTAGAGTTAGGGTTGGTCTTAACATGAGCTAATATGAATGGAAAAATAGGGAAGAACCGTTGGTGGACCTCTTCTTCAGCCTAACCCTGAGTTTAATTAGCAGTTTATTTCAGAATCAAGGCATAATTAATTGGTTAATCAAATTTGTCCAGTTTATTTTCTATTAAAAACAATAAGTATTTTCAAAATAGTTTAAGTTAATTATTATTGTCTACGTTTTATAAAGTTTATCGTGAGATTGTGTTTGTGTGTTTGTTTTCTCCCTGAGTGTTATTTCTCAGTTTGAGTTGTTGTTGTGGTTCCATCTCTTATCTGTTATCCTTTATCTTTATTTTATTTGTCCATTTTTTTATCTTTTTAGAATTATCATTCAAACCCCCCATATCCTTTAGTTTTAGTGTTTTTAGATATTAGTTAGTTTTTATTCAATAAAAGTGACAAAGTAAACTGATTTTCATAGCCTAAAAAGTATCTTTCCTCGTGGGATCGACCCTTACTTTCTCTATCTATATGTTTTAATTAATATTAATTCATAAAGGGGATTTAAGTTAAGGAAAATAATAAATTAATTTGTAGGTGCTACGACAAGCCTATCAGCCCACGCCCTATCCCGCCAAGAGGCACCCGCGGAGGACGCCGTATTCTGCCAACTGTCCGAGCCGTACCCGGAGATCCTGCAGCGCATCCACGAGGAAAATTTTACTCAGCCCGATTTGGTCCGTCTCCATGGCGACTTTCAGCGGGAAGTTTTGCAGCCGCCATTTACCGTTCTCAACGGTGTCCTATATTATAATACGCGGTTGTGCGTTGGGGAACAGTCGGGCATCCGGACCAAGCTTTTACGAGAATATCACGACTTTCAGGCCGCGGGACACACAGGGGTGCACCGCACCTTTCAACTGTTGGCCCAATCTTTTTACTAGCCGCGAATGCGCGCGGATGTCCGTCGCTACGTCGCGGCGTGTCGCACCTGTCAGGCCACGAAGTTTTCAACACAACCACCATCGGGGCTGCTTCAACCTCTTCCCATTCCAGAGCAAATTTGGGAGGACTTGAGCATGGATTTTATTACCGGGCTACCGCCTTCGAGGGGTTCATCCGTCATCCTGGTGGTAGTGGATCGCTTGTCCAAATATGCGCACTTTGGCGCTTTGCCTAGCGATTTTGATGCACACCGCTTTTCTCTTTGCGGAGATGGTGGTCAAATTACATGGGATCCCTAAAACTATTGTGTCCGATCGTGACAAAATTTTCACCAGTGCGTTTTGGAAGGAATTGCATGCCTTGAGTGGCACCACGCTCAAGCAGAGTACGGCTTTCCACCTCAAACGGACGGCCAAACGGAGGTACTTAACCGGACACTGGAGCAATATTTACGGGCCACTCTGCCGTACCAGGTTCACTCTGATAATTCTTTTCTGTTCTTTGATTTGCACAAGCAGTGCGGAAAGGTTATTTGCTACGTATATCCGATCAAACAAAAGAAGGCAGCAGACCAGTTTAACTTCAGATCGCCACAAAAATATCACAATCCCAGTTTTTGTTTTTTGTTCGGCAATTCCAGGGGAGGTCCACGGTTATTTACTGTGTGAAGATTTACTCTAATTTTTTTTTTGTGTGCTTTGATTTGGAGAAGCAGTGGGCAGTGGCTCACTCCTAAAAAAAGGAAGGTTATTTTGCTCCTTTTTTTGCCGCCTTCATTATTGTTCCTGATCGAAAACAAAGGGCGTGCAGTGAATCTACCAAACTTTGATTATTATTGGCATCATTAAATCTTTGTGGCAGTAAATGATTTGGGAGCCGCCACTTGGTTCTCAACACCTGGAAGTCTCATAATCTGCGAGGGTGGATTAAATTATCAAAGATTTCTTTTGGAATTGGGGTTGGTATCCGTCTTGCCACAACTATGGTCTCGATTTTGGATAAAATTATTGTGACCATGGACGATGCTTTGAACAAACTTCTTGGTGTATTGAAGAATATCTTTTATGGAAGAGTTGAGTTTCATGACGGAGTCTGTATAGCTTATGATCATGTGGATGAAATTTTGAAGACGTTCCACTTATTTCGTCATCTTTTAGATCTACCGTTTTCTAATTCTAAGTTATATGCGTTCAATGTGGAAATCTCTTGCTCGATACAAGATTTGGTGCGTGGTACTCCAATGGCATTGAGTGATATTCCCTTGGAGTTAAAAAGTTTCAAAACAAAGATGATGGACGCTATAAGGAATCTTCTCGGTGTTCCCATTGCTCCACCTGATCTGGCCCCTACAACCACTCTACACAATCCTACATCTAAGGACATGGAATCTGTGGAGCATACTGTTCGTAATTCAGTGAGAGGTCCTGAAGTTGCTGATGATGATGTTTCTATTGAAGGTACTAGATTTTACCCGTGCGTTGCACGGTAAGTAATTTATTTAAAAGTGTAAATTATAAAAACTTCATTAAATTAAATGCATGTATACAAATTTAAATATAGAATTATATATATATATATATATATTCAACATGATATATACTTCCTCTATCCCATAAAAACTTAAACTCATTTTGATTTCGGAAAAATTATGAGGTATTAAAAATAAAGAGTAAATTCCATAAATAGTTCCTAATTAGTGATTTTCCATATTTAATATCCAATTATAAGATATTACATAAATGATCCTTAGTTTTTGAAAATAATTTCATAATTAAAAAGTGTGTTAATAAAAATAATAAAAAACCACTTTAGAAAATAGTACAATTATACATTAGTAGTATTAAAATATGTATTTTTTTAAATGTTATCGACTTGGTTACATTATACTCCGTAGTACTATCAATTTATAATATTAGAATATACATATTTCCTTCATAACAAAAATGTTATGAAGCACTTATATTCAGCGAATATGAAAAAGGGTAAAGCATAGCATATCCACCAAGAGCATCTAATAATGTATGAATAACTAAAATGTATTTTTATTTCTCAAGGATACATCTAATGTTGTATGTGTAAATGCTTCATTAATTTCCATGAAAACACACATACACATACTTTATGCATTTGAAAGTAAAGTAAAAGCAAAACCCACTTGATAGGGGCATACAATACTCTAATACCAAACACAAATAAGCATACAATAAAACTCAAAAGAGTGAATATCCCAAGAGTATAAATTTGTCAAGGTTTAGGATGCCCAAAAACAAAGCTCGAAAAGACAAAAAGTAGTTTCCAGACTGCTTTCCTCAAACATAGTTGTAGAGATGTCACCAATCTTTAGTAGCAAAAAAACAAAAGCTCCCTCCTAGTGTTATCTCTCCTTCAAAAGAAATCCCAAAACTCAAAATCCATTAGGATGAGCCCTGCAATAATAGCCATTGAAAGATGAACAATCAGAGGCCCTGGCCTAGACTTTGATGCAGTTACATACACAAAACTGATAAATATAAAATACTTAGAACTTAGTGCAGATTCAAACTCTTGAACTTGAAGATTCCCATCTCAAAACAACTAAAATCACATGACTCTAGAAAATTATTACCAAAAAAACCTCATCAACATTTTTGTAGCATCTATATAAATACAATGTTTAGGGCATCACTACTGGAAAATGAAAACATGAAAGAAATAATAATGTTCAGATCACCAGATTGAAGAACATGCAATTTTTTTAACCATTTGGAATCCTAGGCAAAAGAAAAAATCATGCTGAAACTTTGAGGCTCTGTTTTTTGATATATCATAACATTTTTCATTAAAGACTAACATAGCCATTTTCCAGAATAGACATTTTATATATTTAGCATGTAATTTTTATTCTTATTTTGAAGAATGCCTTCTTTTGAAAAATGACATATATTAAAAGGTAAACAAACTTTTAAAGAAAACAAAAATCACATACACACACACATGAGATTTGAAGAAGCTAAGGAGATGAGCTAATAGTTTACACCATAGTTATCAAGGCGTCGCCTAGGCGACGCCTAAGCGTCTGGGCGAGGTGACATGGACGCCTAGCCTCACGCCTAGCTTTTTTTTACCTGGGCGATCTTGGCATCCTTTTGGCGTCTGGAAGCTGCGATTAGGCGAGTGGGCGAGCCCAGCGTTATTTAAAAATAAAAAATAAAAGCCCACTTGCGATAACGAAATAAAACCTAGCCGGTCAACATCCCTTCGAGTCTACTGCTCCAGTTTCAATAACCCTCTCTCTCTCGCATCTTCTTTTCCGATTTCCGATTCTCTGCATCAACGTCGCCGCGGCTGAGTTTCCTCATCTCCAACGAACGACGCATCAAGGCATCTGAAAGGATCGATCGGCGCATCTAGGCAGTCAACAGTCAACAGGTCTTAATTCTATTTCTTTCTCTGATTTGAGTACTTATTTTTATTTAAATTTTATATATTTTTTGGCACTTATTTGTTTGAGACTTTGAGTACTTCTCGGCAGAGAGTACTTTTCCAAAAAAGACTTTTTTTTTAATCCTTTTTTTACTCTCTCCTCTTCTTTTGGTACTTAACTTTTTTTAGTATCTTTTTAAATTTATTTTTTCAAACAATATTTATTCATATATTTCAGATTCTTAATGGCCGAACCTAACGAAAATGAAGAGTAGGAAGTGATCTTTCATGGGCACATGTTGATGAAGCCATTGGTGCGTCAAGTAATCTTCTTGGTCGCAATCTGCCCAGGGCAGCTGCCAGTAGATCAAACACTCAAACATCTCAAAATGATTTGATAACTTTTTCACGTAGGCGTACTTCATCTACTTCTATTGCATCTACTCCAGTGCCATTGACTGATGAAGGCTTACAAAATGAAGATATTGAAGTTGAAGTGTTTCCAAATGATGATGAAGAAGTGGATGATGATTATGGCATTAGGTGCACTATGAGTAACGAGGAGACAACAAGGACAACCGATGAGATGTTGAGTGATGAGCTCTTATTCACGGATGATTAATGATTAATGAATCATTAGCCATGACCTAGAGACATGGATATGAAAGTTCAAACATTTTCTTTTTTGCTTTATTCACTTTCAGACTTTAAGTTGTGTTGTTTTTTGAAACTCTCTCTAAGTTGTGTTGTTTTTTGAAACTCTCTCTAAGTTGTGTTGTTTTTTGAAACTCTCTCTTGCATAATGTCGGTATCAATGTACTCTTTAATTACTTATTCCATACTACATGTTTTTACATTACTACATATAAAATTATTAAGGTCGCCGTAGCCCACTCGCCTAGGGGACGCCTAGGCGGGCGCCTATTCGCCTAGGCGTCTGGAAGGTACACTAACGCCTAGACTCGCCTAGCCGCCGTGACAACTATGGTTTACACTAAAGTTTGACATGTCATAGTGCAATGTAATGTTGTGTAATCAAATACTCTAATATATCTTTAGTGGGAGAGTGGTAATGCTCAGATCCTATAGAGACAGAGAGTATGTGAGGCTTACTATGTTGCTTTCACTGTTATATTGTTTGCAAGTCTGTAGTTTTTTCTCATGTATCTTCTTTAATTTTTTTCTCATCAGATTCTACACAAAAATAAAAATATAGAGAAGTCATGTATGTTGCTTAAATTTCTCAATTTGATTAAATGCCTTTGTTTGGTAGCAACATTTGGGTTTACCTTTGAAGTCTTATGGGCCTTTCACTCCTTTGTCCATTAACTTCTTCTCCAATATTTGTCTCTCCCTCAAGCCTAAAAGAACTTGAAAATAAAAAAATATCAAAAATTTAACCTTAATTTCCCGGCTGCCGGTTTCCCATTATTTGTAATTGGAATGATACATAGAAGATTAGCATGGCCCATGCGCAAGGATTACATGCAGAAATAAAAAATGGTCCTACTTTTTTACTGATTTTTCCATGCTTTTCTACTGCATTTTGGGTTTCAACCTACAAATTTTAGAAGATAGAAATAAATAGACTTTTGTTTGATGAAGATAATAAAATTGTAGTTGTTTAATTCCATATCAAACTTAAGAATCTAATATACCAAGAATGTATTTTTGGTATATTAATAGCAATGATTAAAATAATTAATCAATCCATCACTGCAATGTTTGAGTTCATAAGTCAAAGCTTGAGGGGTAGAATTTAAAGTTCATATTTAGGATATCCTTTGATGTGAAGCCAAAAATTGTTGGCTTGATGAACATAGATGATATTAATGTTTCCCAGGAATCAAACAAAAGATGCAGGATTGTAGGTTTAGGTAAAATATTTGGCACAGTTAGTAAATTGAGGGATAATTCTTAAGGGATAATTGTTCGACCTGGCAAAATCTTCTTCCAAAACATTATACTGGACAGCTTCATTCATCTCATCCTTAACATTTTGATGTCATCAATCTTGACATATACTACTCTGTCACAAGATTTTTGAGATTAATTTAACAAACCCTAAACTTATTTTAAGATAAAGCTACAAAATTGATGAAATTAAAATACAACTGATATGGAGATATATAGAAGTATAGATGGAAATATGATAGGTTTAAAGCCTTAATTATGAAAAAAATATATGAAGAAATTGATGAAATTTTTATGTACGATACCTGCTGTGTCGAATGTTGAAGAACATGAACAGTACTCTGGTAACTACCTCCACCTTTTCCATTCTCAAGCGACAATGTTCCCACAAGTTTCTTTGTCTTCTCTGTTTCATTCCCAGTGCTTCTGAGAATCCGTTTTGTCCCCGACATTGCACCCGATATTAATAAGCCCTTATATTTCCAAGAATTATCCGTTAAGAATAGTGATAGAATTTGTTTCACATCTTTAAATTACTCTCTATTATGCTAAATCGAAATGGTCTAACAATTGTTTATATAAAGTTTACTATTAAAAATTTACTATGTATTATGCATAAAACATTTACTACAAAAATTAATATGAACAAATTAATGTGAAGTACAACCTTCAAGGAATTAACATTGAAGAGATGCAAGTAATTTCTTATATGCCATAGTCTAACAAATGTTTTAATTACATATGAAAATTGAAAAACCTTCTGAGATGAAATCTAACAATAGATTGACAAAACAATTATGAAATATATACGGCCTAATACGGGGAACATGTATAAATAAAAGAGAAAGATTTGGAACCATAAATTGAGATTGTTTTTGAAGGAATCTTTCCAACTCTTGCACCATCTCCTTGCTGAGACCCCTATATTTGTCATTGCCATCTCCACATTGAGTCCTATTTGTATTCTTATTTGACAATTTTACAGAAGAGATCAAGAGATGAAGGAGCAATTAACAAATTTACAGAGATATGTTGGACAATTAAAAAAACTGAAGTTTTGAGAAAGGGGTGTACACATTGACCATGAAGAACACCTAATTTTTTTCAAATTGATTGTTTAAATAAAGTTTAACAATATAACTTCCACCCCCAGTGAGTTTAGGGTTCACTAGTAGTAGTCAGCAAGAAGGTTTTATTGTCTCTATGGGTTCCGTTGATGAAGAATTGGAATTAAAAAAACAACAATGATACCTTAATATCACTGGCCTTGAAATCCTCTTATACTACTGATTGAAGAGTGAAACTACAATGCTAAGAATGCACTCAATATTAAAATTAAACTCTTTCATGTTAGAAGTTAATCTGAAAATGTTGATGATTAAAAAAAACCTGCGGTGAATTCAATTGGAAAACCACGGCCAAATCTTGAGTATGAGATAGAATTAACTAATGAAAAAACAATTGAGACACACCTGGGGTAGCCGGTGGTTTCCGTGTCTTATTCATTGAGGTTGTCGGCCTCTACAATTCATTGTGAACGATAGAAATGAACCATAGAATCGGGCTATGTTGGAGCACAGATCTACGGGCTATAGAAACGGACATAGGTGTCATCTGCATCTATAAAGCACAGATCGATGATGCCAAAGAAATAGGCGCAAATAAAATCGTCGACGTCGTTTGTGTATTCTCCAGATCATCCACCTTTCTCCATTGATGTCGTATCTACAAATCGTCACCCATTAAATAGTCCCCATTAACACACGGTTACGGAAGAGGATGCTAGAGTTCCCGCTCAAAAAAACATCCTGTATTGAAACCTTACTTGTGAAAAAATGTATGAAGAAATTGATGAAATTCAGATGTACCATAGCCGCTGCGTCAAAGTTGAAAAAGATGATGAACAGTACTCTCGCAACGACAACCTCCACCTTCTCCTCCTTTCTCTAGTTGCTCCCTTCTCTCTGTCTTCTATGCTTCCTTCCGATCGATTCCGTCCATCGCCATTGCAAAGCTACACCTTACCCTAGGATGGGTTTAGTGGGTGGTTACTGGTTAGGAGTTTAGGACTTGGGCTTCGGTTGTTTAATACACATACCCGAACCGACGTCGTATTCTTACAGCACAAGTGAGCGGGAAACTTTTCCTGCTGCTATTGTAAATAGGAAGATTGTTAATGCCTTTCCATCAGATCTTGTAGTTGTTGATACACCCGTAGATGCACCGGGTAAGGGGGAAGCTGCAAAGGATCAAACATTAAGCAATGTCATCATCGCATGTAGCCTTGTACCTCCGTCCAAAACCGCCCAAGTAGCAGATGTGAATTATACGCAAGCGGACATCTCACTCTCCTTTGATATCATCCAGTCCTTTGGCCATACGAATATAGTGGAGTCTGAGTATTGGGTTTCACCACAAGTAACTAAGTTTGTATTTGCTCTTTCTCTTATGTCCATCGCTATACGCCAATTTGCAGGCTTCATGGAGATCTGTCATCAAGCGGCCATAATCTTTGGGTCAATATTTTCTCTCTTGTCCAGAAGCATGAATGGGAGCCTCCACTTTTAGGACAAGGTGGTTTTCTAAGGGGTGAGAGTGTTATGGATAGTAGAGTAGGTTATTTAGTATTATTATTATTATTATTGTAATTTATGTTTTATTAGGTGAGCAGAATTATAAGCTCCTTCGAGGTTTCTTTACGGTTCTTTCCCTCGTCGCTTTTATTGAACCGTCAGGTTAGGTTTATGGATAGCTAGGGTTTCCTTGTCTCCTATAAATAGAGATGTAACCTCATTTAGAATATTCAATTAATAAACAACTCAAAACCCTAATTCCTTCTCCCCTCTTGGTTCGCCGATTCCCTCTTTGCCTCAATTCTTCTTCTTCTTCCTCGTTCCATATTCTCAAGAGCTCGAAGACGCTCTGAGTCTTCCCTATCTGATATGTTATTCGTATCATTACCAATGATACGAATAACGTATCGGATAGGGAAGACTCAGAGCGTCTTTGAGCTCTTGAGAATATGGGACGAGGAAGAAGAAGAAGAATTAAGGCAAAGAGGAATCGGCGAACCAAGAGGGGAGAAGGAATTAGGGTTTTGAGTTGTTTATTGATTGATTAACTCTAAATGGGGTTACATCTCTTTATATAGGGAAGAAGAAAACCCTAACGCTAACCTGACGGTTCAATAAAAGCAACGATGGAAAGAACCGTAAAGAAACCTCGAAGGAGTTTATAATTTTGCTCACCTAATAAAATATACATTACAATAATAATAATAATAATAATAATAATAATAACAACAACAACAATAATAATAATAATAAACTAATAAATATATAATCTAATATCCTACTATATAATCCATAACACTCTCACCCCCTTAGAAAACCACCTTGTCCTCAAGGTGGAGGTTCCCACTCATGCTTCGAGACTGGAGAGAAAATGTTGACCCAAAGATTATGCCCACTTGATGATAGAACTTCATTAAGCCTGCAAATTGGAGTACAGCAATGGACATAAGAGAGAAGAGCAAATACAAACTTAGCTACCGGCGGTGAAACCCAATACTCGGACTCCACTATATTCGCATGGGCAGAGGACTGGATGATATCAAAGGACAGTGGGATGTCCGCTTGCGTATAATATACATCTGCTACTTGGGCCGTTTTGGACGAAGGCACAAGGCTACATGCGATGATGACAGTGCTCAATGTTGGATCCTTTGCAACTTCTCCCTTACCCGGTGCATCTACGTGCGTATCAACAGCGACAAGATCCGAAGGAAAGGCATTAACAATACCTTCAACAGAAACACCACCAGCATCAACTGCAGGAACTCTCACTGAATCCCCAATCGTACGCTCCACATCAGTAGATGTAGGATTGTGTAGAGTGGTTGTGGGGAACAGATCAGGTGGAGCAATGGGAATGCCGAGAAGATTCCTTATAGCATTCATCATCCTTATTTTGAAACTTTTTAACTCCAAGGGAATATCACTCAATGCCATTGGAGTACCACGCACCAAATCTTGTATCGAGCAAGAGATTTCCACATTGAACGCATATAACTCAGAATCAGAATCCGATAGATCTAAAAGATGACGAAATAAGTGGAACGTCTTCAAAATTTCATCCACATGATCATAAGCTATACAGACTCCGTCATGAAACTCAACTCTTCCATAAAAGATATTCTTCAACACCCCAAGAAGTTTGTTCAAAGCATCGTCCATGGTCACAATAATTTTATCCAAAATCGAGACCATAGTTGTGGCAAGACGGATACCAAAAAAACAATGAAAAAGCAATGCACTCAAATCTGGTATGATTCGTCCTTTTCTGCCTAGGGTTATTGTTGCACTTTTTGGGTAAAACACAACACTTTGCTGCAAGGAAAATCACTCTTCAAGTAGATTTGAATCAACCTTTAATTAGTACTCCAATCTTTATTTCTTTGCTCGAGGGAGAGATTATGGGGCTATCTCCTATATGGCAAATTGGTTTAGGCAGCCACGTATGATAATACAACAATCTTTAAGATCTAGTACAAATGGAGCAATCACTAGCTGTTGCTAATTGGATTAACACCAAGTTGCAGTGACTACTTCAATTCTTCCAATGAAACAAAACAACTTGAATGCTATACCAGTTATTTTTGTGTATGCGGCATGAATACCTTCTGATATTTCACCAGTTGCTGCCTTTTATATGGGATCTGATGTAAATCTTCACAGAGTAAATAACTGTGGGCCTCCCCTGGAATTGCCAAACAAAAACAAAAACTGGTCTGCTACCTTCTTCTTTTTTATCAGATATACGGAGCAAATAACCTTTTCGCACTGCTTGTGCAAATCAAGGAACCCAAAAGAATTATCAGAGTGAACCTGGTGCGGCAACAACAATTCAGCGACGACAAATCTGCAGCGAATCAAATTTTTTTTTGGGTTTTTGGTTTTTTTAGGTGTTCAAATCAATGAGAGCACCAATGATACGAATAATGTATCGGATAGGGAAGACTCAGAGCGTCTTCGAGCTCTTGAGAATATGGGACGAGGAAGAAGAAGAAGAAGAATTGAGGCAAAGAGGGAATCGGCGAACCAAAAGGGGAGAAGGAATTAGGGTTTTGAGTTGTTTATAGATTGATTAACTCTAAATGGGGTTACATCTCTTTATATAGGGAAGAAGGAAACCCTAACGCTAACCTAACAGTTCAATAAAAGCGACGAGGAAAAGAACCGTAAAGAAACCTCGAATGAGCTTATAATTTTGCTCACCTAATAAAATCTACATTACAATAATAATAATAATAATAATAATAATAATAATAATAATAATAATAATAAACTAATAAATATATAATCTAATATCCTACTATATAATCCATAACACTGAACCGCAGATATAAGGAAATCCAAAGCTCTAGATGCTACCGATTACCTTTCTCTTGATGTGCAACAGAGAAGACGAGATTGACACAAAATCAGAAGCTCGGACAGAAAAACCCAGCTACAGACTAAATCTCAGAAAGTTTGCTAATATATACGGAGTAGAAGGGTGTTGTTTCTCATGTTTACGCGAGTGGGAAAAAAAGGAGGGGGAGAAATGATACTCTGCACTGCTGAGCTGGACAACAGAAACACTGATTTTTTTTTCAAGCACGCTCCATGTACCCCAAAATTTGTAGTCATTTGTACACCAAAAGTATGCATCAATATTTTGATTGTTCACATTGATACAAAGTATTGGTGCGTTAACAAAAATTAGCTTTACACCAACACAAAATGTTGGTGCATTCCTGCTGTGTACAAAATGAGGTACAAATCCTTGGGATACAAATGGTTTTATCCTTTTTTCTCCACGTCTTCTTTCTCTAGTGCTAACTGAATGCATTCTTCTATAATTTTAACATTATTTCAATACCGTCAAATTTGGACTAAGTACTACTAAAATATATTGTTACTTCCAAATGTAATATCTGAACTTTTTTATTTTTTAAATAATACTTAAATAATGCATAGTGGCACGAACAATATCCAGGAATAGTAGACATTTAGTTTAATTAGGGTCCAATAACGGTAGACATTTACCTGAACAATAACCAATGGACAATGACTAGTGATACTACAGAAATAAAAACCTACGGCATTACATTGGGAAACTCACTATCTTTTAGTACTATTTAGGTAAATTCCCCTTAAATATTCCCTTTCTCCCTAAGAAATATAATTAAGTTGGAATATTAAATTTAAGTAATTAAAATGCTAAATTGTGGTAATGTTATAATTAATTTATCTGGCCAATTTGTTAATTAATACTTGAAAAATTATTATATCCATTTGTCTATGAATGTGAAAAATAATTTAGTCAACCAATACTAGCACATTAATTAAACATAGAGATAGGATACAATTAATGGAGTAGTTGTGAAAGAACTCTCACTAGAAAAATTAATTAATTAATTTAATACTCCAACTAGTTAAAATATCTGAAAATTGCCTACTACCTGAAATCAATTCATATTCCTCTTTATCAATTCAATCAAATTGTTATTCTCTTCAATCAACCCAAACTTTTCAAAATTAGAAAACTTCCAATACCAATTATTACGCCTTGCCTAACTAATTTTTAATAGAAAATTTATTTACATGCCAATTCTTGTGAATACGACACGGGAATAAATTGAACTCTTTTAGAGGGAAATTTACTACTGCTAAAACTCTTTCGTCAAATGGCGTCGTTGCCTGGGATTGGCGCATAATTTTTTTTTAAAAAAAATTATTTAGTTAGCATGGAAGAAAATTGGTTAGGTTGATTTTCTATCATCTTTTCATCGTTTGGCGAACTGCATGCAAACCCGCTCTACTAGTGGGGGTAGTTTCGCTCCATACACTCATAATCCTGAAGGAATTCTCCGCCAACCAAAAAAATTCACCCGGCGGGAATTCTGAAGAAGAAGAAAGAGAACAAGAAGTTGAGCAACCTGATACTCAAGAAATGGAGGAGACCAACAATAACAGAATGAGACGGACGGTTCTACAAGCAATGAGCCCCGCCTATACTGAGGAAGATCCAATCGGACTCCCCAATATTGACGCTCCCACATTCGAGATCAAACTAACAATGATCCAAATGGTCTCGAACAATCAATTTGGGGGTCTTAAAAATGAAGATCCAAGAGCTCCTATGTTATGGTTCTCCCGAACTTGCCAAACGTTCAGAACGAACGGAGTGTCTGCCGATCGTGTTAAACTGTCACTGTTTCCTTTCTCACTACGAGATAGGGCAGCACGATGGTTGAATACGTTCTCAAAGGGACATTTCACCACATGGGAGGCACTTCATCAAGCTTTCATGCACGAATACTTTCCACCATCCGCCATTGCAAAAATTAAAAGATCAATTCAGAGTTTTTCTTAGAACTGACTGAATCTTTAAGCGAAGTGTGGGAAAGATTCAAGGATCTGAAGATCAAATGTCCAACTGCCCTAATTGATCCTGACAGCCTAATGTTCCATTTCTACCTAGGACTTCTGGTTTCATCAAATAAAGAACTTGACCACTCTTCAAAGGTTGGTTCTTTCCTAGATATGACGCTAGAAGAAAATGAAGAATTGGTGGAAAAACTTACATCAGATGCAAAATACTAGTACGAAGACCGAGTTCCAAAACAAAAAGCTGGAATGTACGTGGTGGATTCTTTCACAACACTCAAGGCGAGTATGAAAAGTCTGATCAAGCGAACCATCCAAGATCAGTTCAGTGCAAGTTCTCGTCCAAACAAACAGCACGAATCAATTTCTTAGGCCGATGCTTACTATCAAGGAGGATCTAGTTTCCGCCAAAATGAACTGGTCGTGTCTTGTGACTCTTGTACAGGTGCACATCTGACATCTCAGTGCCCTTACAATGAAAGCCTAACAAAAGAACGACCTCGTGAAGTAAACTTGGCACAATACGCCAACAAAGGGGAAGGACCATGGGCCCCTAATCAATACCAGCCAGCCCATTGGCGCGATGATCCTCCGAGGGAGCGCAACAATAAGAATTTCCAACGAAATAATCGTTCAAGGGAAGATTACAAACAAGGGGGCTAGAACAACAACACCAACTGGGATAGTCAAAGAGGGTCCGGCTATAACCAAGGGGGAAATACTCAAGCTGAGGATCCTACGGCCGAAATGAAGAGAATGATGGGGGAACGAGATAAAAAGAATGAAGACATAATTCAAAGTTAGAGGAATCTTTGCGATAGTTCATGTAACAAATGGCGATCAAACCTCCTGGAACTCTGCCTGCCAAAACTGAAACCAATCCACGCGAACATCTCAACGCTGTTACTCTGCAAAGTGGGAAGGAAGTTCAAGGTGTTGGTTAGAGTCCTGAACCAACCTTGGATGAGGAGTCTGTGGTTGAACCAGTTAGTCAACCAACTAAAGAAAAGAAGAATGAATCAGAAAAGAAGAAAGAAGAAAGGAAGGATAAGGAACCTTCCCAGTCCCAACATCCAAACGGCAATCCCTTACCAAAGAAGGTGACCGTACCCTTTCCATCAAGGGTAAAGAAGAATAATGATGACCAAGCCTTCAAGAAGTTTCTAGACATCATGGGCCAAGTCGAAGTCAAGCTGCACTTGATTGATGTCTTAACTGAGATGCCGAAGTACACCAAGTTCATCAAAGGCTTGGTTATGCACAAAAAGGACTGTGAAGGGGTTTCAATGATCAATCTGAACGCGAGCTGCTCCGCGTTGTTACTCCAACAATTACTTGAGAAGCGCAAAGATCCAGGTAAATTTTCTATCCCCTTCTCAATTAAAAACATGCACTTTCAACATACTCTAGCAGACTTAGGCGCGAGCATTAATCTGATGCCCACATCAATCATAGAACAATTAGGAAATACTGAACTTAAACCCTCACGAATGTGTGTTCAACTAGCGGATAGTTCTGTCCGTTATCCTTGGGGAATAGTTGAGGACATACACGTAAAGGTTGACAAGTTCACATTCCCAGCTGATTTCGTGATTCTTGATATGGAAGAGGATTCTGAAATGCCTTTAATTTTGGGTTGGCCATTTTTAGCAAATGCTAAGGCTCTGATTAATGTTCACGAAGGGGAAACGACTCTAAAAGTTGGAGAGGATGAATGTACCTTCAAACTAATGAACTTGATGAACAATTCTCCAGACCCTACTGAATTTTGTCATTATGTTAAAATCTTGAAAGATAAAGGGTCTGTCGAGACGCTTCTCGGTCTAGAGGCAGTATTGAAGGAGGAAAGGAATGAAAAAGATAAGTGTGAGGATGTTCGGGAAGTGGAAACAAAGAATGGTCAATCTAAGGGATCTGACACCCTAGAATTGAAGCCACTTCCTAAACATTTGGAGTATGCATTTCTAGAGTTTTGAGTCTCAATTGGTATGCCGACGGGAGGGTAAAAACTTCCACCCGATCTACTATGCTAGCAAGACTTTGTCAGGGCCACAATTGAACTATACCACCACAGAAAAAGAATTCATGGCCATTGTTTATGCTTAAGAGAAGTTTAGGCCTTACATTATTCTTTCAGAAGTAATTGTCTACACCGATCATTCGACACTAAGATATTTACTTCTAAAGAATGATGTGAAGCCTAGACTGTTACGATGGGTACTGCTTTTGCAGGAATTCAATATACAGGTAAAAGACTGGAAAGGGTCTGCGAATCAAGCTGCTGACCACCTCTCTCGTCTTGTCACAGAGGTGGTTGATCAATTTGGGGAATGCAAAGTGGATGAAGCGTTCCCGTTTGAGAAAATACTAACAATCAATGAGAAAGCACCATGGTATGCCGATATAGCTAACTATCTAGCTGCCAATATCGAGCCTACCATGCTCTCGTCTCATCTCAAACAAAAACTCAAACGGGAAGCAAACCACTACTTTCTGAGAAGACCCCTACCTGTTTCAAATCAGCGCAGACCGGGTGTAACGACCCAAAAACCGGCTTAGTAGTTAGCCATATTTCAATAAAAAAAATATATATAATATTTATTTACTCAAAAAGATGAACTATTTGTAAAGTTGACCGTTTTATTTAAAAATTAGATTTTCGGGTAGATCTCGTAAAATGTAGGGGTGTGCACCGGTCCAAAACCGGACCGGACCGGACCGGAATCAAGATTTTCTTAAGACCGGAGACCAGATGTAACGCTCTATCAACCGGCCTATTAGCTAGCCAATATTTTAAATAAATATTATTTATTGAGACTCATTATTTTAAATAATAAAAATCGAGATTTCGACCTCTTTAAATGGACTTCCAAAATTTATGTATTTTAATAACGGGCCTCTCGACATTAATTAATTAAATAAACTAATTAATGATTGGGATGGATCTGGAAGTTTGAAAATAAAGTTTTGAGAAAAATATTTTGAAGATATCATAAATTTAGTTTTGACTGGTTATTTCCGAAAACAGAATCGATTCTTGATTTGGATCAGTTCGGAGGAAAAACCACGTACCGTTCAGGTTAGATTTTACACAACGGACTAGAATTTAGGGAGATAACTCCCATTCAAACCACACGCCACTACACCCCATTCATCTCCCCACTACTCCCCGTTAGTTATCCATTAGGGTCCCGTTCCGTTCAACTTATTTTTTCTTATTTTTTCTTATTCTTATTAAAATCAGATCAGATCAGATCAGATCCAATCAGATCAGATCAGATCAGATCAAGACTTATTAAAATAAGATCTCATCAAGAATTATTATTATTATTATTATTATTATATTATTATTATTATTATTATATTATTATTATTATTATTATTATTATGATCATCATCATCATCGTCATCGTCATCATCATCATTATTATTATTATTATTATTGTTGTTGTTCTTAAAAATGAAAAAGAATAAACTTTAGAAATAGGTTAAATAAAAAGCTGAGAAAGTAATCCTTAATTATTAGACGTCGGAAAAATTAGTTTTAAAATACATTGACAATGTCAATCTAATTCTACTTTTAAAATATATTTTTATTGCTACTTGTAATTTGAGTTTCTAAACTTTTGATCTTTTATAAGGATGAGATATTTTAATAAAAATATTATCTCTTCTATATATTGATTATCTAAATTTAATTACTTTTAAATGTATATCTAAATTAAATATTTATTCCAATGTATAATTCTAATTTTACAAAAAAATTATCATAAAATAAAAAATATTATTACATTATAATATGAATGATTATTCTAATATATGAATTAACTATTTTTATTTTATTAAAAAGGAATCATTAAATAAAAAATATTGATTATATTATAATATGAATTATCATTACAATTTTCAAACGTTATTATAAAGTCAAATTAAATTATTGATTTGAAATTTTAAATTAAATCATAATTAATCAGATCAGATCAGATCCAATCAGATCAGATCAGATCCAATCAGATCAGATCAGATTCAATCAGATCAGATCCAATCAGATCAGATCAGATCCAATCAGATTAGATCAGATCAGATCAGATCCAATCAGATCAGATCAGATCCAATCAGATCAGACCAGACCAGATCAGAACTTATTAGAATCAGATCAGATTAGACCAGATCAGAACTTATTAGAATCAGATCAGATCAGAAAAAACAAGTTGAACGGAACGGAGCCTAAATCTCCATACTTTCTCATGATTATAAAACTACTAAGCAGGCCCTTCGTTTCCACACGACTGTGTTTCTTGCTTCCTAAATTTCCCGAACGTTCCATGCCAACGTAAATCTGCCAACGAGTTTGTTTGTGAATGGGCATCAAACCAAACAACAAATGATGGCTCAGACTTCTGCCCACTTCCCCTTCCCGCAAGTCTTCAAGAAATTTAGTGAATCCAAATCACTATTTTACTTTTTCATTCTCCCAAAGACCCAAACCAAAGAAAATACGGAGCATAATATTCTCTCCTTTCATACAAACAACGCCTAACTTAAACTTATCCAAATCAATGTTAATCCGATGCATATCTAAAAAAAACTTAACTTTGCACCGTTCCAAAAATAAAATTAGAAACTCAACTTTGGGTTGGAGGAAGTATTACAGTATAAACCATATTAGTATATCACGGAATGTTATGTGCACTCACGCCTTGAGAGTACAAATTCTGTCTCCAATCATATTCCACCACATACAATTGTGATGTGAAAAAAAATCAGAAGAGGGAAATATATTTGCAATACAGTTTGCACTCTAATGGTGATAGTACTACACAAAACATTCCTCTAATCTAGCTACCTGGTGACTTGAGACCAAATTTATAGAACTTGAGGATAATTTGTCTACAAAAGAAAGGGCACTAATGGGATTGTGTTATTACAAATAAGAAATAAAAAAAGACAAAGACTTCATCTAATGTGTATGAATTTAATGGATCAAATTCTAGCACATGGTACCTAGAGCAAACACATTTTCATTTCGTGGAATCACCGAACTCTCTGTGAGAATTCAGTTCCTGACATTGTGACCGTTTCGATTGATTGGGGTTTATTATCTTCATTCTTACAAGATGACAGCTTTTGGAGTTTCTCACGGATATTCTGTTTTATAATCTTCTTCTGTACATTCAACATGGGAATAGAAGGTTGGTTAATTTTTTCCAAATGACATGAAATTCTGTAGCATAGCGGAAAAAAACAAAAGACATGCATATGAAAAAGCTCGAGCAGAATGGAAGTGAAGCTGTTTACGATTCTGATTTTCAAACTGACACCCAGGACGAAATTGCCACCAGGGGGAGCATTAATGCCAATCCATAGAATATCAGGCTATCCACATCCTCGACACTTCCCATTTTGTCATGGATGGAACTCAAAAACCTCGTGAAAGGACAATTTACCTGTTTGCCCTGCAGCAGGAATGAAAAGACAATTTACCTGTTGACAGCGGTTTGTAAAATGATTGTAGAAAAGAGTTTCAGCTATATGCCCATCTTGTGGTAAAACTTTCGCAACGAAGTACACTCACCTCAGTATTTGATTCAGTAGTTTGCTCCCGGGCATCTGAACTAGATAATGTTCTTTGTGCGTATTGGTCAAATAGATCTGATGGCTTCTTGATTGTAGCCCTTACAGTGGAGAGAGCTTTATATGCAGAATCAGTGTGAATGGTCTCCATGACTGAACCAAAGAAGTTTGTCACGGGCACCTGATTAATGTCCCTTTAGACTCTTATGAGGTTATCCCAAATCCAGATTGACAGTCGACAAACACCTATATTCGCATAGTTTAACAGAAGCATTTTTAAAACTATACCTGCTCCAGTTGACGTGGGTACAGATCGGTTCGATAGTATGCCGTTGACATCAACAAATTTGATTTATATGAATTGAATAGACTGCAAATTAACAGCAAATCTTAAGAGGTTAAAATGAAGTCAGATGTACAAGGCAAGTTTTATAAAGACAAACTTTTATACTGCTATCATCGTCCTATTACTTAAATCCCTTTTTTATGTTTTAAGTATTTTCTCTCTTGTCATATTTAGTAATATTTGTGTGGCTCGCTTTCATTCTTACTTTTTAACATTAATATCAACCACAAACATCCACTTTTTTTTAGTTTGGGTGTCACTACAACATGTCCCGAATAGTGAGGATGGAGCAACATCTATGATGAATACGTACATCAGCATACAAATTATTTTAAAGAATAAGTAAATTAAAATTAGAGATAATATTCCCGTAAAAAAAAAGGACAATATAGCAAAAATCCTTGTGAATTTATGATACATCTATATAAACAACACTATAAGGCTAGGACTGTGCACTCATAAATAAGCAGTGATATCTAGAGTAGCATATGTGAAGTTCACTGTTTACCTGCTTAATGAAGCATTGCTAAACATATTCACCCTCTCAAAAAAGGCAAGGGTATAAAATGTAAATCGATCTATGACTGAGACACCAACCTGGCCCAAAGAAACCAGCAATGGAAAAAGTTAAAGAGAATCGATCTGGACCGAAGAAACCAAAGAAAAGTTGAAGAATGAATGTTAATAACAAAAGACATACTTACATCAGAGTCCAAGTGGTGTGAATATGAATTTTCTCCTTTCATGCTACTTCCAATAGCCAAAACACCAGGTGAATGAAGCTACAAGGGAAGGTTAAATTTCAGCTCATGTGGAAACAAGTATCTCAGTATTTCTTTCTTAGTGAGACAAAAGCGAAGCACTATAGCAAAACACTATGCACAATTACAGATCTCGATATTCTATAAAAACAGAGACGAGCAGGGTTTCTGTTTGTTAAAACTTGAAAATGTACTATAGTTAAAAACAGAGGGAGAGAACTTTTTGGTTGCAATGAGTTACTGCTTTCGTCCAAGAAAAAGTCATGTTTGAGTAAGATGCATTTTTTAAAAATTGTAGTCAACTCAATTAATGTACACTTAAAACTTATTTCAAAAATTGTTTAGAGTAGTTAACTAAGAGGGTGTTTGGGAGTGATTAACTTGTGGATAAAGTGATTTCCACAAAAGCTGAAAGCAAAAGCAGCTCATACCTGCTTCTCCGAAACGGTGTTCTATGTACAAAATAGTGGTGGTGAAAAGCATAAGCTGACATGCCAAACAGAGTAAAATCACTTCCACTCAAAGCAGAAGCTAAATTATTAAAAGCAGTGCACTGCCAAACACCCTCTAAATTTGTTCGCTGATTGGCTTCCAAAAATTTTACTTATGAAAGGAAACTTATGACTTTTAAAGTTACACTTTTTTTTGGGATAACATGTTTTTTATACAAACTTTTTCTATGGATGGAGTATTATATACTTCTTCATTCCAAAATAATCGCAACAACAAAAATTTTACACCATTCACACACCTTCAGTTGAACATCTTTTGTGATCTATACATACGCAATAATAATCATTTGGGATTTGTTAGATTCATCTCAATAATAATATCCATTATATTAATTTTTATAATTTTTACTAAAATATAATTGAAGATATTAATGATTTACTTTTGTGCATTAGGAAGTGTGAAAATTATAATATTGCAATTATTTTGGAACGAAGAAAGTATTATATACTTCAATAAGCAAGGACTAAATGGTTAACCCCATAAAGCATACACTATTTCCACTGAAAAAGACACAGTTAGCTCATTGTAGAGCAGTATTTAAATGTCAGTCTATTACCTAGACTATAGGATAAAAATATCTCACCTGAGAGAAAAGTGTAGCAGCTTGACATGTATCAACCATTATTAACAGCTCCTTGAATCTGAAGAATGAACACAGTTGAGAAATCTGAATTCATACCAAAGAGAAAAAAACACTACAACTTTGTTTTTTTTTGCAGAAACAAAGCCAAAACTCTCGCCTGCGCTTTTCTTTCATTTGTTTCACTGCATCAGCTAAATCGTGACTCTGAAGCTCCTCTGAATCCTGAAATTTTAAGAACTCGTCTCCACCATGCCCAGTCATATACACAAGTATGTGACTCCCTTCATCGCTTAAAAGCCGTTTTGACCTGGGAACAGCAGCTTCATGGCGGCCCGTTAAAACTCTTAAGAAGTTCTCCACAGTTACTTCATAGCCTCGATAATCCACCTGACTTACAAAAGCATGTCTAAGTTACCCGCGGGCATGAACATAAAGCTTGAGCCTGGCCCTCAAGTATGCGGACCCCTTTTTATAAAGCCCAAGCCCGGCCCAAACCCCAAAATATCAAACCCAAGCCCACTATTTTGGGGGCGGGCTGGGTACCCGGGACCGTGATCGGGTCTAGTGCAGAACTGCAGATTAATGCAATCTGACTAATGTAAGACTGTAAGAGCATTAGTCATCTAAATTTAAAGCCCAAGTGCTGATGTTCAACTCAAAGCATCCATTGCAACTTTTAAGAGGCAACTAGTGGAATGGTGAAAGTTCGTGAAAAATTAAAAGGGAAGTATGCCACAAACTACTCCCATGACAATGAAATTGAGGGTTTATATGATAGAAAGCTAACAATGCCAAATATTTGCTTGGATGCTAATTAAAGCAACATACCTCAACATTATCTCCATATAAGTTAAGCCTATGGTTTTCGTTATTAAAGACTTGAGCAGGGTATTTGTTCCGCGAATTGCAAGCCATATCATCAGCCAACATCAAAACAATTCTTTCGTCAGGTATGCCTAACCGTTTTACAGTTCTGAAATGCAAAGAACAGTTTCTTTCACATGTCAGCCAAGAACTCTATGGTAAAGATGAAATTCCAGATAAGAAGATGATTAATTTAGATCCTAACTAAAAGAAATATTCTTTACCTGTATAAAGACAAAGTGTTAGCCATGTGACGGTAGTTAAACCTGAGGGACCAACCACGAGAAATATTAACAAGATGGAAATTTGATGTAAGGTTCATCTAACAACCACAGTTATCTATTGCTTGCAGATCCTATTAGCTATGCGACTAACTACAACAAACCTGCACAAGTTACTCTGAATATGCATAAATACGCACATAACCTCCAAATGAGATCAATAGTTCATAGCATTTCAAAAAGAAAAAAGGTAGGGGTACACCATAGGCATACAGTGGCACAAAGTATTGGTGCGGAACCGACACTTTGTGCCAAATTGGGGCACCAATTGGGGTACCTGCAGTATGGCTCTTTCAAAAATCCTATTTTCAATATATTCAACCGAAAATTGACTATTCTTCAGAAATAACTTCTAAAACTAGGGTTTATACCAGCAGCCATTTGTCCCAAATTCCTGAGACCACTAATCATGTCACACAACTCGCAAACAGACCCCAAAAAATTAAAAGTTCAGTTTACTGTCTTCGAAGATGACAAACAAGGAGTAACTGATAGAGGTAGTGAAGGGTACCAAAAGCGAGAAGTGCAGACTAAAACTGCCCAATTGTTAGTGTGCATTGTGGTAGTAGTAGTAGTAGTTGAAGCCGCACCCGCACTGGAAGCATCGGACGAGATCGCACTGTGGACACAGGTCGCAAGAAGAAGAAGAAGCATTGATGATGCTGAAATGAATGATCTCAGCGATCTCTTCAGCCTTGCCATGCCTTATCTCGGCTTTTCGCCTTCCCTAGCGACGGCCAGTTTACCGGGCTGTTTGTTTCAGCAAGTTCAGATGTATTCAGCACTGGTTCATACTGTTTGTTTCAGTCTCTTAATGGTTCAGATATCTGGATGGTTAAGAGATTTGCCTCTGAATGGTTAAGTATTATAAAGAGTCTGAATGGTTAAGACCTCTTATCTGAATTGATCAGACATTTGCCTCTGAATAGTTAAGCAATATACTACTCCCTCCGTCCTAAAACTTTCTTCCCAGAGCACTATTCCAACTTCACGGGAATTTATATTTATTTATGTTGTTTTATGGCCTATATGATAAAATAAAATATTCTTGTCACCACTTGTTTTGCTGAACTTTTGATGTAGTTTTTAAATATGTATGTTTTATTTTTTATTTCTATACCAATATTTAAATAAAATAGATTGAAAAAACTTGAGATTTTTCTTCGTTTTGCGCAACGGGAAGAAAGTTTTAGGACGGAGGGAGTAGCTCTTAATGGTTCAGACCTCTTACTGGTTCAGCACTTAATGGTTCAGACCTCTTACTGGTTCAGCACTTACCTATTCAGAAGTTGTCAAACAGCCCCTACTTCTGGGAGAGATGAGAAAAAGCACACACAATGACCACTTTGTTATAAAATGGAAGAAAAAATCAGAAATTATGAAAACAAATAATGCATTCGTCCACAAAGCATTTATTGTTTTGATTTTTTAAAAATTCAAGTGGTTTATATTTTAGTCTTGATTTCCAAATATTCCCTACTCCCTAGGATATGATTGGTGAAAGTAGATATGATAATAGATTAATAGTAAAAAAATGTGATGTAATAGGAAGGATAAGAATTCGTAGAGATAAAAATGACTTTTTAATACGACGTAAAATGAGAAAAGTTTTTTGACACAGATGAAAAAGAAAGAAAAAAAGTTTAATGAGACAAAGGGACTATGATATATTTTTTATTTCTTTTCCCTATTAATTCTTCACTCTTCTTCTTGTTCTTAAATAGTGTTTTGCAAGGATCTTAGGCCTTCTATTTATAGTCGAGAAGCTTAGTGGTAACACTATTACAAAGAGTATACGTACTATACAAATGGCAATTTGATGGTGATAATCGATAATTTATTCCTGTAACTATAATGGAGCATGACTTAATTAATTGATGATGAGTATTTTGTGAAATGGATGCAGTTTTGAAACCCATCTTAATTTCATGTACTGCCTCTTTAAAAATCTTTTTAGAAAAAACCCAGTGGGATAAAAACTTGATCAAGGGAAAAAGAGTACAATGCATAAAATTATTTTCCTCAGCTTAGCATAATTGACAGAGGCAACGTATGCCAATATTGTGTATAAGTTTTTCAAATTTCTTTGGGGACAACGTTTTTTGTAAATAAATCAGCAGGGTTCTCACTAGACTTGATTTACTTAATGTCAACATTTCCATCTTTCTCGAGATCATGTATTGAGAAGAACTTTGGTGATATATGCTTTGTTCGGTCTCCTTTGGTGTAGCCTCCTTTAACTTGAGCAATGCATGCAGTATTGTCTTCAAATATATGAGTCAAATGGCTAGTGATTGTTTCTATATCGCATTCGCACCGCTACATAGATGGCTTCCTTATCCGCTGCCACCAAACCGAGGTCCGCCCCGATCTTGGTTGCTTCCTCATTATATTTCGGTTGGCCAAGCCTTCTACGCCGCCCTTTTCCAGAAGCGGGAGGGGATCATCATATCCAAGAAGGACTCAGTTAAGAGCTGGAAGAGGAAGTTCATCTTCGTCTCGCCTCCCTCGGGTTCCCCTTTCCGCGAGGAAGTCCTCAACTCATTTCGTCGGCGTGCCCTGCCCGCCACCTCCGACAGAATGGTCGCCGACGCAGAGAAACTCTGCGAAGAGGGGCCATACGAGCTCGCATCGTTGGTGACGAACAAGGAACTGGCCGAGCTCGGGTACGTATTCCTGCCACAAGAGGAGGCCCACGTCGGGTCGTCCAATGGAGCATCGAGGAAAGCCCCTCAAGTCAACGTGATCCCTCTACTCAGCCCTTCTACGGGCGCTGCTAGCTGCTTATATTGTGATGTTCGTTTTACTTAAAGTGTTGGCCTCACCCTTACTTGTTTATGCAGGTGACATGATGTTTTCTGTGTCGGATAGGATGCAGCTCATGCTCTAGGGCAACAAGGTCAAGGGTCCGTAGGGGGCCCTGCCCTAGATGCTCGCCCCCCGACGCCAAGCCTCAACCTGACTTTCGAGGAGGCACCTCTAACGAAAAGGCGCAGAGAGGCAGCCTCATCCTCGGCAACGCCGGTGGGATCCAAGTCCCCTCACATGACAGACTTCATGCATCCTACCCGGGTCAAGGTGGCCTTCCCCCCTCTGCCTTCCTTCCTGCGGGGGGATTATGATCTGCAAACCTTCCTGCAGAGCTTCACCCCTCACTCCGACCGCGAGGCGCTCTGTGCGTCAGGGAGTAATATATTGGCCTCAACCACTCTCCGGGAGCTGGGCTCGGTAAGTCCCTTCGCAAACCTTCATAGGTACATAGCACTTAGTGATTTCACAACATTTTCATTCCCTCGTTCTCCTGCATACGGCTGGTCCTCCGGCTGCAATTCTATGAAGAGGAAAAGGCCAAGGCCCATGCCGAGGGGGTGGCCCTCGAGGGGGATATGGCTGCCTCGGAGGAACGCGCTCGATTAGCCAAAGAGCGCGCCCATGCTGCTGAAGATGAGCTTGGAAGGCCAAGGAGACTGCTCGCAAGGCCGCGGAGGGGCGTGACCGAGCTGTGGAGGACTTCCAGGCGTCGCCCACCTTCAAGGAGGCAGCCTTCGCGCGCATGAAAGATCTGCCCGCCGTCAAGGAGGCGGCCTTCTCGTGCTTTCCTTTTCATGCCCGTGCTTTCCCTTTTTTTATGTCTGCGTTTTTTTATGTTTGCGCTCAGAAAATCCTAGGATGAATGTCCGAGTATATGGCCCGTGCTCGGCAACCCTCTTCTTGTGAAAGGTGGAACCAAGCTTGTGGCTTTGGACCTTCATCCAGGAAAAACATCTGGGTGTGGTCCGTGCTCGGCCATCCTCCTTGCAGAAGGTGGAACCGAGTGCGTGGCTTTGGACCATCATTTGGGGAAAACATCCAGGTATGGTCCGTGCTCAACCCTTCTTTCAGTGGGAGATGGGCCCGAGCGCGTGGCTTTGGACCTTCATCCAGAAAAAACACCCGGGTATGGTCTGTGCTCGGCCATCCTCATTGCGGAAGGTGGAACCGAGCGCGTGGCTTTGGACCTTCATCTGGAAAAACATCTAGGTATGTTTCGTGCTCGACCATCCTCCTTACGACGGATGGAACCCAGTGCGTGGCTTTGGACCTTCATCCAGGTATGCTCTGTGCTCGGCCATCCTCCTTGCGGAAGATGGAACTAAGTGCGTGGATTTAGACCTTCTTCTGGGAAAAACGTCCGGGTGTGGTCCGTGCTCCGCCATTTTCCTTGCAGAAGATGGAACCGAGCGCGTGGATTTGGACCTTCATCCGGGAAAAACATCCATGTGTGGTCTGTGCTCGGCCATTTTCATTACGGAAGATGAAACCGAGCGCGTGGCGTTGGACCTTCATCTGGGAAAAACATTAGGGTGTGGTCTGTGCTCAGCCATCCTGTTTGCAGAAGATGGAATCGAGCGTGTGGCTTTGGACCTTCATCCGGGAAAAACATCCGGGTATGGCCAAAGTAAACCTCATTCTTCCTAGGAAAACTTTATTTTTATTGCATTCAACTAAGGATTCACGGGTTCCTTTTAGAGGATCCGTTTGACAACAAGATTCTTCTAATATAATTTGGCGAGGTTCTCAGCATTCCATGTTCTGGGCACGTCTCCTCCGCTGGGTGTTTGCAGACGGAATGTTGAAGGACCCACCGCCTCTTTGATTATGTAGGGGCCTTCATAGTTCTTAGCGAACTTCCCCTCTTCCAAGGGGCAGCTCACTGCCTCTTGCGTAGCACCCAGTCCCCTACCATGAAGGCCATGAGAGCGTACTCGCCCATTGTGGTAGCTATTCACCTTTCTTTGATAATTTTCTACCCGTATGAAGGCCACTTCCCGCCTCTCATGGCCCAGATGGAGTTCCGTTGCCAAAGCTTCGGGGCGCAGTTCGACGTAGATCTCTACAGGCGCCCTCGCCTCGAACCCGTAGCACAGCGCGAAGGGGGTTTCCCCGATCGCTCTCCGGGGCGTGGTTCGATAGGTCTACAAGATGTAGGGTGGCTTTTCCACCCACTTTCCTTTACCGGCTTCCAACTTCCGCTTCAAACCATCAATAATCATCTGGTTAGTGTTCTCGACTTGCCCGTTCGTCTGCGGGTACCTTACCGATGCGTAGCTATGTTTGATCCCCCAACTTTTAAGGATGTCGTTAAAAGGCTTGGACTCAAACTATGTTATGTTGTCCGTAATCACATGCTCGGGGACACCAAAGTGGCAGATGACTTGTTTGGCGAGGAACTTCTGGCATTGGGCCCCTATTATGCTTACCAACGGCGCCACCTCCACCCACTTCATGAAGTAATTGATTGCCACTTTAACGTACCTTACGTTCCCAGTACCTCTGGGGAGAGCGCCGACTAGGTCCACTCCCCAGCGCGCGAATGGAATTGTCGTGCTGATAGGGGTGTTGTAACACCCTAATCCGTCCAGGTCTGCAACCCCTTTTGGACTAAAGTATTAACTTGGAAATCGTAAAAATTTAAAACTTTTCAAACACTTTTATTTATCACAATAATATTTTTTCATAACATATACAGTACGGAGTATTCAACAATATTGCGAAAGCGAATTAAAAATTGACATATCATAATTCATTTCAAAACTTGTCACATCCATCCCGACAATCTCGCCTCATCTGCCACCAGGATCACATTGTTCTTTCTGTTTACCTGCGTGTAGCAAATAAAACATACTACACGCTCAGCGGTAAAGCTGAGTAAGCATATCTAATGCGTCGAACATCCATATAAACTGAATCTAAATTCATAATCAAATCATTTGATATCATGCACACAATGTTCACTTCAGACATTCACAGTTTTGATATTATTCAGTTCTTATCAACATATTTTATTCAATTCAGTTATTATTTCGATAGTGCTCTTAAATCGTTCTTAATCTAAGGCCAAATCATAACAANAAGCGAATTAAAAATTGACATATCATAATTCATTTCAAAACTTGTCACATCCATCCCGACAATCTCGCCTCATCTGCCACCAGGATCACATTGTTCTTTCTGTTTACCTGCGTGTAGCAAATAAAACATACTACACGCTCAGCGGTAAAGCTGAGTAAGCATATCTAATGCGTCGAACATCCATATAAACTGAATCTAAATTCATAATCAAATCATTTGATATCATGCACAAAATGTTCACTTCAGACATTCACAGTTTTGATATTATTCAGTTCTTATCAACATATTTTATTCAATTCAGTTATTATTTCGATAGTGCTCTTAAATCGTTCTTAATATAAGGCCAAATCATAACAACGCTCTTAACTATTCTTAGTCTAAGGCAAGATCATAACAACGCTCTTAGCTATTCTTAGTCTAAGGCCAGATCATAACAACGCTCTTAGCTATTCTTAGTCTAAGGCTAGATCATAATTTCATTCTCAGACGCTTAAACTATAATTAGTTTAAGGCAAACATTTCTGAGACGCTTAAACTATAATTAGTTTAAGGCAACAGTTCTCCGACGCTTAAACTTTAATTAGTTTAAGGCAAACAATACTCAGACGCTTAAACTATAATTAGTTTAAGGCAACAATAAGACAATAATTAATCATCATTGAGTCGAAGTATTTCCAAACGAGTGATCCTCTAGTTTGGTCTACGTGTTCCGTTACATTTTTTTTTATCAAATCACCGAATATTCAGATTCTCACAATCCCTTCTAATCTGAGATCTATTCTAGAGGTCTTGTAGATAACCTTAATATAAATTATTTAAATGGGTATATCTTAGAGTTTTCTAGATACTCTTAACAATACACATCATTTCATAATTATTAATATATTCATTTTTAATCATGATTTAATCATTCATAATTATTATTTTAATAAGAATATTCATCAAAGTCTGATTATAAACAACATCAATAATAATTTTAACAATATCCAATAACAAATAGCGGTCTAGCATCGAGTGTTAACACCTTAGCTTACCGTCATACATCACATAAACTTTTATTTGTCAAAACATCATTTTTATTTTATCACATGAAATTTTATTTGTCAAAACATCATTTTTATTTTTAACAATTATTTTTATATTGATCATAATTGATTGGTATAAAAATTAGGCTTTTATAGCTTCAAAAATAGCATTTTTGGACTTAAAATTGTTCGTAACGGTCGACCGTTGGGTTTGAACGGTCGTCCGTTCCATTGGAAAGTGCAGGAAGATGAAGGGGTTACTATTCATCATCTTCAACCTCTAACCCATTTTTCTCAAGTTCCATTTTTGGTCACCAAACTTCAATTAAACTATATAGAAATGTTCTCCAAGGTTCGTAGATCATTTTAGAGGCATCAATTCGAAGTTTTAACAACAAATTCAAGGTTTATGATTTTTGGTTCTTCACATATGTCAAACACAAAACTCAACCAAACGACCATTTATGAACGTAGAAACGATCTATACGAACATTCTAGTCACTAGATATATCTACGGGCTTACATTGAAGTGAAACGATGATTCCGACGGAAAAACGGCAAAACTTCCGGTGAACACCACCGCTTGCTCCGGCGACGGGAAGCTCTCCGGACAGCTTCTCTCGACTCTCTAAACTCTCCTCTAACTAATGGGATAATTTTGGTGTGAAAACGATGAAGACTGTATGGCTCTATATACGTTTGAAGTTTGAAGCATGTTCCTACGTTTGATTGCCCTTAGTGGAAGGGGCGGCTGCTATTTAATTCCTTCCAGTTTAGTTTGATTAAATTACTTCAGTTGGGGTACACTTTTTGGTCCAACGTTATCCAAATTGAAATCCGTTTACACCGTTGCGATGAGACAGTCAAACTCTATTTAATGATATAATTTTTATATTTATTTGAAATACTTTTTTTGACAACATATTTTTGGGTGTTGACTTTGACAGAGTCAAAATTGAATTAATTGATATGTAATTAAAATTAGTCTCATATTCAATCAATATTATTAAATATAAATACTTATTTCAATACATCATTTTACAAAAGTTCACATCTTTGACTTTTTCTCATTTTTATACAAATTACATATTTAAAATGTCATAACTGAACTTCTGTACATCAGATTTATTCATAAAATATACCGTTGGTTTCGTCTCTTCAAGACCTATCCATAAAAGTCAATCTTAACAAAAATTATTGACTCTAAAAATTCCTTCATTTTTGGTCAAACATAGAAATAATGCTTTGTTGAGTCAAAATATTGTTTCTAAAAATACTTTT